TATCAGACGATAATTCATGATGTGCTGTCTCTACCAATGAGCAGGCCAGTTTCTATGCATTTTGACGAATAGATCGTTCGTTTAATGAGGCTATACGTTCGTTTTCGTTCAGTTGTGCATGTTAACTAATAATTATACGGTTGAGAACGGATTGAGTGCTGTCAGCCAATAGGGAACTGTAGTTTTGACGATTGTTTCGTTCAGTAATGAGGCTTTACGTTCGTTTACGTGCTTCGGTGCATGTTAACTAATAAGAAAATAATTAACTTTGTCCCTCGTAACAATGAAACTAATTAACGACAAAGGCGTTCTGAAAAGAACGGGGTTTTTTCCTTGTAAAATCACCTCTATAAACAGCAGTGCAGATCGCGTCCTGGACTTTTGAAAGTTCCCGCCAATTCCGAGTTTTTTTCACACTACCTGGGGAATAGGTTCCAGCATTTATTAGACTTTTTGTTGAAATTTGACATGGTAAAAAAGATTATTTGTCACATGTATGGCAAAGTCAGCATGAAAAAATTAATTTAAAAAATGAACACACAATACCCAGGAAATTTCAGTATTAATAGAAGATCTAATGCTTCAGAGGGCAGTTAGGGCAATTTGCAACTGGACTGGACCCCCAAAAAGCTTTGGGCAACTCTGTCTTTTAATACTTGAACATTAACTCATTCAAAAATAGTTAAATATTTCATAGCATTTTAGTGAAAATATGATGAGAAGATTATTGTGAAACAATTGTTCATTAAGGACTGTTACCAGGAATGTCATTGCCATGGTCAGAAAGGGGCTGCTCATTATATGGGGTGGGGGCAATATATGAAACATATCATCAAGTTCATTCATTGTGGAAACAATTTAATGCAACTTTAATAAACAAATTTCTAGTGCCATGGCCATGGTGTTAAACAATATTATAGTACTATATATGTAACTTGTACACTTTTGCTTTTTTGCTCACTATTTGCATAAAAAGCAAATTATAACAGACCATAGATGCTATACTCTCATCCAGTGCCCTCATCAGTTTTCTTCTCTAACAAGTAAGGGGGTGCATGAATAAGGGGGTGTACATAACGGTTCATTTTTCATAATTATGGGGATAGAGCAGATGATGACGAGTGATGACAATGAGGGCAGGTTAGTTAAAAAAGAGCTTATATATAATTGGATGATACACTTGATAAGATTTTACACTTGGATACTGTATAATCTGCATAAATAATTGCTGTCGAAGGCAGCACACTATTCTTAACATGAAGTATTGCGTGTCTGCGTTTACTTGTGTCCAGTCTCATTGGCCGAGTTACGTATGGTCGACGAGATTTCGATTTGTGAATTTGTGTCTGTCTGTTTGTAAAGATGTCGTAATTCCGGGGAAATAATTAAGGCTTCAGGAAGTTTTTAAACGAGGGGGGGGGGGCGGTCAAAATTTATTTTGTGTTGCGCTCGCATGATATATGTTGGATTTTCACAAATCGACAATATTTGGAATAAATCAGGTAAGGATAGCTTTATTTCTTTCTGGTGATATTACATGAAGGCATTTATATTTAGATCGGATGTTTAGCGTTCGATATGAGGTATTTGAAACAATAGATCGTCTTTTTAACATATTTAGGAGTCAAAATGATGTACTTTTGGTTTTATATTTGTTTGTGTGGCGATGTGCCAAGGCGATGAGTTTAGTGTTTATTCTAGATGTTCATAGACATAGCAATTTGCTTTCAGAACGTTTTAAAAACAAACGCTGAATGTTGTGTAAAGATATTTCCTATAGCAACCTGCCAACCCATGCAGTTAATAACCCAGCGACAGACGAAAGTGTGGATTGTTGTCTGCATATATTAACTTACCAGCAGTTTAATAGCCTAGCTATACATGTATTAATATAACATGTCAACCGATTTTTGTACAAGATATGGCGGTCTGTAAAAATATATCTCTGAGATATCAGATATGTCTATTGTTAGCATAAATATGAAATAATCCTACTGGCCTACATTCATATTATTCACCCTGGTAGTGTGTGCCTGTGTCACTACATTTCAGGGTATACTATATTTTTCGATAATGCTCACAAATTCTTTCCTATTATATAGTTTTGCAGTTCTGACTGAGTACAATCTAAAAATGTCAACAAATAGATTTTGTCTCCCCATCAGCAGATTATTCAGTTGTTCTGTGAACATAGCCTTGAAGGTGCCATATTAAAATGATAATTTGGACAAAAACTGACTTATTTCTATACAGGGTGTCCCAAAAAAAAGTGACACTATAGAAATTATCCCATTGTTCTTAAACCGCTCTTAAACGAGCGTGATTACACGCCTGGGAATTTAATGAACTTGTATTTACATTTAAGCATTTTAAAACGTTTTCGCTTTGTCCAAATATTTTAACGCCCGAGTCAAGCAAAACGATTACACTAATAAACGGTTTGCTTTTTACACTGGCCTGTACGGCCAAGTGTCTTAAATCCCCCTTTTTCTGTTTTTTTCGTAGTCGAGAAATCGAGTTTGCGTTAGCTCATCGCAGGCTCAGGGTGCAACGATTAAGCCAAAATGCCATCGATTCTCTCGGTTCCATGATTTAGACAGTATAGTAATAAGTTCGGTATTTATGTACGTAATAGCCGACTCATGCCATGCTTGTGGTACATTTTGCGTTTAGTAGCCCATACACTTGTACGCACGCGCACAATTCCGAACTCCAATGGCGACTTTTCACAGAGTGATCAAACTATATTTTACACAGTTTCGTTGAATTTTCAAAGAATTGTGCCGGTTTCCTATGGAATTTACGTTGTGTCGAACTCTGGACTTTCTTGCGTGTTGAATTAATGTGTTTTTCTTTGTGTAACGACTCGAAAACCACAAAATTTGGACCCAGCGAATTTATACAATATATAGAAGGATATTTAAACAAGGACAAGTTAAAGGTTTGACAGTTTGACTTTTTAATAAACAACTATATACGTCGTGGACTCATAACATCCCTTGTGTACTTAATTCCTTACGATAGTTTTAGTCAAATGTCGACAATATACCTTTAAATACATGTATTAAAATCCGCGCAGTACTAGAATTAGTAGCGCTGGCCGCTGGGTGCGGAAATTTTAGTACTGCACGAAATATAATCCGCGCGAAAGGCTTTGTCATGTGGTAGCTATACTAAAGATAAAGCGTGCGTTCAAAATACCAACAAGAACTGGTATCATTATTGACATGTATGATTCTCATTTGCTAGACTTGCCACAAGTCAATCTCGAAGAAACGTACGCATTTCGTTTGAGGTCGACTTGTGGCAAGTCTACTCATTTGCCTAATACAATAACATTTAGTTCGACGCAAATTTTAATACAAGTATGGTATCATATTTCATAATATAACAAACAATGTAAACTAGCCATGGCCATACATTTTGCCGAACATAATTTCGGCCCCTTTGGACATATCTTTTTCGTAATAATATTATTGGAACCAGAATCGAAAGTGTTATTTTCAAGCTTGTGTCTTGGGATTTTTATCTTTTATTTCGGTATTTACAGAATATTTATATTTTTAGCGTGGCGATCAAAAGTCAAAACAAGGTCGGCATAATTTGCACGTCCATCAATCGAGCTATAAACGTGCGTGCGAGTAAAATCCCGATATTTTGAAAAATTCAAAATAAATATTCCTACTCTGCGCCGTATTCAAACGAAACTTTGTACATGAAAGCGCTTGAATACAAGATGTATTTTACTCACATTGACTCTGAGCAAATTCTGAAAAGTTACTAAAGAATACTAAAGCGGTGCATATGTTACTTAAGTTTCCACACGGATTCGGTGTATTACTTGTATTTATTTCGTACGTTTTACTCGGTATTTTACAACGCTTTTCGATAACTCTCCAAACTAAATCAATACAACATGTGTTTTATATCCGGGCATTTTCCCGTTACGTCATACCATCAAGTTCCGGTATCTAATTTCCGGGTGCTAATTCCGGTGGGGTACACTCTCCCTCTCTAAATGAAATCGCTATTTCAACAAATTAATACAGGATAATTCTTTTGCTCATGCAAGTAGCTACTTCGTGTTCGGGATCTTAACTGATTCCTAGAGTGGGGTGATCAGTCCCATCTCGCAAAATCTCACTACCGTCCTTCAATAACCATCCTGATTAATATTCAGCAAAGAGTCTTACTTCGCCAAGTAACACCGTTTTATAGTTGTTTTTTTTTCATAACGTTCTAACTCAATAACTAAGGTATAAGGTTAATATGACTGGATTGGGTAGGGAAAAGGTGGGTTTTGCCAGTTCAGAGGCATCACAGGGGGACACGTATACGGGTGACAAGGTATAGGAAGCCACTTTAGAGGTACTGATCCAAAGGGTTGTACTTCGCTTGGAGTAGGTACTACGGGTGGCATAGGTGGTAGGTATGGTGTCATAGGTGGTGGTAGGTATGGTGGTATAGGTGGTAGGTATGGTGGTATAGGTGGTAGGTATGGTGGCATAGGTGGTACGTGTGGTGACATGGGGTAAAATTGATTGGCGACTTCGCTGCAGATGGGTCTAAGGTAAGCTGGGTTCCCTGGGTCGAGGTAAGTTAATCTCTGGGGCGGTTGCCTGTTTCGTTGCGAACGCACATCACGTACTTCTTCTTGTTCATCGTCTGTAGAGTTTTCTATCGCCTGTTCATCTCCAGTTATTTCATGGTTTTCATCATCAGCCCAAGACTCGTCTGTGGCGTCGCCACCATCTGCTTCATCGACGGCAATGTCTGGGTTCGGTTCACCAACGAAATCTCCGTCTGCGGCTGCAGCATTATTGATTTGGTCAGTGTTCCAAGTAATGCGAATTTCATCTTCACTTTCATCTACGCTCTCTTCTTCGTCTGTTTCTTCGTTGCCGGATTTTGAGATGGGACTTCTGGGAGGAACTCTTTTAATAACTGTCCGCTCGATTTCTGGCCAATTTTCAATCGGAAGAAAATCACATGGTAATAGGAGATTACGGTGAAGTGTGCGGTTTCGACCATGACCTGACTCTGGCTTCACTTCATATACTGGGCTGTCCGAACCTTTACGCGATTCAACAACATGTACAGCTTCCTCCCAATATGCTCTAAGTTTACCTGGACCTCCTCTAGGCGTGAGGTTGCGTACTAGCACGCGATCTCCCGGTTCAAGACTTGAACACCTGACTCGTCGATCGTAATTCTTCTTACCCTTCGCCGCATTCTTTGAAGTCGCCTTGTGTGCGAGTGTGTAGGCTTGTTGCATAGCAGTCTTCCATTTTGATGCATAGTCCGAGTGTGATGTCGTATCGGATGCTCGTGGTAAGTCAAATATCAAATCGATCGGTAATCTTGGGCTACGTCCAAACAGCAAATAAAACGGGGAGTAGTTTGTCGATTCATGGACTGTGCAGTTGTATGCGTGTGTCAGCTTGCTGAGGTGGTCTTTCCATCGAGACTTGTAAGCTTCGGGGAGAGTTCGAAGCATCCCTAGTAGTGTTCGATTCATCCTTTCAACCAATCCGTTTCCTTGGGGATGATAAGGAGTTGTTCGTGAATGCATCACTCCAGACAACTGTTCCAGACGTTTGAATAACTCATTCTCAAATTCTCCGCCCATGTCGTGGTGTATTTTTTCCGGAAATCCGAACCGCTGGACAAAATCATTAAAGATAATATCTGCGACAGTTTTTCCCTTTTTATTTCTGGTAGGGTATGTTTGGGCGAATTTGGTGAAATGATCAACTACTACGAGTATGTATTGGTATCCACCTGAACTCTGTTCTAGGTGCATAAAATCGATTGATATCATCTGAAAGGGCGCTGTTGTAACGATCGGGTGTAAGGGTGCCACGGTGTGACGACTCGGTTGTTTTTGCTTTATGCATCGGCATGTCCGCTGTACGAAATGTTCGATATCTTTCCTCATATTAAGCCAAAAGAATCTTTCTCGAGCAAGGGCTAACACTCTTTCTACCCCCAAATGTCCCATTTCTTCATGTAATTCGCGATAAACCAACCGTTTGAATTTCTGAGGCAGGACCAGCTGTTGATTATGATACAGCAAACCGGTCTTCTTATCAATGTGTAAATGTTTCCATTTATTTAAGAACTTCCGTACTTGGGGCGGTTCTCGGCGTTGATCAGTTACTTTTGGCTTTTGACACAGCTTACAAAACTGTAGAACACGTTTGATCGTTGGATCTTCCTGCTGGCCTTTGAGGATGTCGATTACTTTCAGCCTGCTTGACGTTGTACTCTCCAACAGTTCATCAGCTTCCATTTCTTTAGTCTCGTCCGTTACAGCTGTCAACCAAACTACATCACCGGCTGCGTGGGCTTCAACAGAGGAAATAGTTGCTTGGATGGTTTCTAGAGAGATCTCTTCGCTACAGCTTGTCATATATTCGCGTATCTCTAAGGGTGGTCTCGAGAGACAGTCCGCATCCGTGTTTATCCTACCAGGCCTATATCGAATGTCAAAATTGAATTCAGCTAATTCGCCAACCCATCGTAGTCCCGTACTGTTCAATTTCGCGGTGGTAAGGACATAGGTCAAGGGATTATTGTCAGTGTAGACCAGGAACTTTGGAGCATAATATAGGTAGTCTCGGAAGTGTTCTGTTACCGCCCATTTCAAGGCTAAAAATTCCAACTTCCCTGAGTGCAAATGGTAATTTTTCTCGGAAGGGCTTAATGCTCTTGATGCATATGCGATAACTCGTAGGATTCCATTTTGCTCTTGATATAAGACTGCCCCCAGGCCTTCCTGTGACGCGTCGGTGTGAACAACGAAAGGCAACTCATAATTCGGGTACGCTAGAATAGGAGGGGATGTGACCTCGTTTAATAGATTTTCTAATGCTGATTGGTGAATTGAAGTCCATTCCACGGATGTACGCGATGACAGTTGGCTTCGTTTTCCTAATAGTGCTGATTTTCCCTTTTCTTTCTCGTGACCGGTTGAACTAGATTGTCCTTTCAAGAGCTCATACATTGGTTTTGCTTTTTGAGCAAAGTTTTTGATATGTCTACGATAAACACCAAGGAATCCCATTAATTTTCTGATGTCCCCAACCGTTCGTGGTTTCGTGTTCTTCCAGGCTTCCACAGCACTGGTGGCTTTGGGGTCCATACGATAACCATTCTGTGAGACGATTCTGCCTAAAAAGGACACCTCACGTTTGAACAGAGTGCACTTTGATGGCTTTAATTTTACTCCGTGGCTTCGCAATCTTCGAAGTACTTTACGTAAATGCTCAATGTGGTCTGCAAAGGAATTTGAAAACACAATAATGTCATCCAAATAAGGAATACATATATCGTCTCTGAGATCTCCGAGGGCATTCTCCATAAAACGCTGGAAGTTCGCTGGAGCATTCATCAGTCCGAAGGGTATTCGGACCCACTCATAAAGGCCCCAGGGTGTTATAAAGGCGGTCAAATGTTGGCTCTTTTCTCCAATGAATCCCTGGTGATAAGCCTTGCCTTGATCCAGGACACTAAACCAGGATTTACCTCCCAAGCCATCCAACGTTTCCTGTATTCGTGGGATTGGATGACGATCTGGTATTGTGTTTTTGTTCAATTCTCTGTAGTCAACGCACAATCTCATTCCACCGTCCTTTTTCCTTACACAAACCACGCTACTGGAATATGGCGACTTTGACTTTCGTATGAAACCTCTGTTTAACAAATCCTCAATATATCCCTTAACTTCAGGGTATAGTGGTCGGGGAATAGAGATGTAATTCTTTTGAACAGGATTGTCATTCTTTAGTGTTAAATCCATTTGTAGATCAGGGATACATCCGATATCATCTTCGCTTGCTGCAAACGAGTCACGTTCTTCGCGGAGTAGTTGTCTAGCCAATGCTTGCTCTTCAACAGTTAAACCAGTTAAGTCTATTGGAGGTATGTCAGCATCATCAGCAAGATCGACCTGTTCTTGTCTACGATTTGGTTGTGGAGACTCACTCTGGGATTCGTTACCAACATCGTTTACCATAGTCTCTTTAAACTTAACTTCTAACGGCGTCACAGATCGAACTAACTGTAAGCGTCCCAAAACAGTTCTGCCATATAAGGTAATATCGTGATCTGTGTCATTGGTGACTTTAATGTGCAACAATGAAGAGTTCCCTTGCCTGACTGATGTTAGTTCCTCTTGTATAGTCAACCCAGAGGGTAATTGTGGACATTCATGTGGTTCGAATAGCACAGGAATTGCACGGTTAACTGGACCTGTGTTTGCCCGACAAGGCACATCCACGGTTTGTGATTTTGGAATTACTATATCTTGTTTTTTTGTCTTAACTGAACATAGATCATCTGGGTCATTCTCGTTAATCACACGAATTAAGTTTGTAACGCTTTCACTCTTGTATCCTCCAAAACTTGCAATCATACTATCTGCCAAGTGATTAGTGTTTCCATCGCTGGTCTCTTGTCTTACAATTAACTCGATCACATTATACCCAATAATAGGGGGTCCAATGTTAATGTCTGTAATTAAGAATGGCACTACAATTTCCTTGTTGTCTTTGCCTTCTAGCTGCACCTTCATTTCCACCCACCCACTGTAGGGGATTGATGACCCATTAGCTGCTTGCAAATTAACTTTACTGTTCGCACCCAACAGTTCTGTCATCTCTCTAACACTGACTGTTGGAAAATGATTGTTAAGAAATTCTTCCGATATGATTGAAACTTGTGCGCCAGTATCCCACAATGCAGTGATAGCTTCATCATTAAAACGACAACGTACAGAACACTTATTGCCAACAAGCCGAGCGACCTGAGCCTGACGTGCTGGTGCTATGTGACTAGGAAAAACATGTTTGTCTAGACTGTCACCTGGCATGACACGACTTGCCTCTTGTTCTATTTTATTTATCTTGTTGATGGCATTGCATAAGTTTTTATGACTAGACCAGTGTTGTTGTTGGCATTCTAATGAGCAATATAAAACTGACTTGCATCGAGAACACTGTTGCAGTGGGTTCGTTAAGATTTTCAAGCAATTACTACAATGGGACGTCGTATTTTGTTCACCGGCTACTCCCTGTCCCGCGGGGGTAGCCTTCGACCGTTTCCCGAAGGGTTTCTTGATTGTGACCGACAATATCGTGCTATGTGGTTTAACCCACCACAATGAAAACAGTGATTACATTCTTCCCCAGATGTTTTACACTTGTCACACTTTGATCTCTTAGTGGGTGCTACATTCCTACTTTCGCCTTCGGGTTGTTCTTTAGAATTTCGCTGGCTAACCGCCTCACGAAGTGTTTTAACTTCAGACTGCACTGCTGATAACTCAGTTCTAACTTGTTTAATTGCAGCTAAAACTTCCCTCTTTTCGCCCACGCTTTCCTCATTCTGTAGTGCAGAAACACGAGCTTTCGTGTCCCGAACCTTATTTAGAGAATGGCTAAATTTGTTGCTCCGTTCTGTCTCTGCAGAAACAGCCATAAACACAGCTTCGATGAGTTGCTCATCTGACACATTAGCATTGTCGGTCAATGGGCGTATTTTGGCACGTATAGTTTCATCCTTTAACCCAGTCTCAAGAGCGTGTAGGAATAAGCTTTGCACAGATGCGCCGTCATACTTAATAGCACTGTCGCTTTCCTTTGAAGCATAAATTATCTTTTGTCTGATAGTAAGCGCACGCATAAGAAATGCTTGTGGATCTTCATTTGGTTGTTGTGTCATGTTTGTCAGTGCTTGATAAAGTTCCGTCGCATTTTTCTCATGAAAATGGAACCTTAGTATTTTGCGCAATTTAGGTAGGGTCAACCCACTCACACTTTCAAGATAACTTCTAAGTTGCATCCCCGGTTGCACAGCCCGAATAACAGCGGTCATAATTTCTTTGTCTGAATAGCCTTTATCTTTACCCGTCTCTATCTGAGACATCAAAGCTTGGTAGCCCAACTTATCTTTTTGGGAGGGTTGCCCAATAATACCTTGGATTTTGAAATCTCGATGGAGAATCGTAGAACTCAACCCAAACAAAGGTGATTTTGCTGATTCAGCAGAAATCTTAGTGGTACTTCCACTTTCATTTTCAGAAATTTTAGATTTCTTCGTATGCGACAGTTTATCTTCAATCTCCTTTCGTTTTATTTCGAGTTCCGACAATTCCTTCTCGAGATTTTGTATCTCAGTTTGTTCTTCCGATATTTTGGCCCCAGTTTCGCTTGTCTCGGGATTTAAGGCAGAAATTAACCCATCTAAATAGTTGACTTTATCGTCTTCCTCGGTAAAAGTACTTAAGTTTACTTCAAGTGCATTACGAATCTCTTTAATTATTTGTACCTTACTCTTTCCTTCTACCTTTGATTTATCAATCTTCAACGACAAGGCAAATTCGATCAGTTCGTTCTTCCCCAGAGACAGTACTTTGGTGTCCAAAATAATTTGTTTATCGTCGGCGGCCATAGCTCGTATTCAGTTTATAAAATTCGTCGCTACTCGCACGTTAAAACATCATCAAACAATACTTTAAACACTTCATCTTTCCACATAGGAATTCCCGCCTGAGCCCCCAATTTGTTACTTAAGTTTCCACACGGGTTCGGTGTATTACTTGTCTTTATTTCGTACGTTTTACTCGGTATTTTACAACGCTTTTCGATAACTCTCAAAACTAAATCAATACAACATGTGTTTTTTATCCGGGCATTTTCCCGTTACGTCATACCATCAAGTTCTGGTATCTAATTTCCGGGTGCTAATTCCGGTGGGGTACACACGCACGGAAACGCATGGAGGAGTCTTGGCGTTTGTGTGATATTAACAGATAGCTAACTACACTTCGACATTATCTTTCTTGATCGTTGAGTTTCAGCAATGTAAATGAAATGAATTTTATAGCCAGTCCATAACGGGTTTTCATCCTGTGCTTTTACAGTCAAAATAGCACTATTTATTACACATGTTGGCGATGTTTGGGAAATCAAAGGATCCCGTTATAAAATAAATCTTTTGTTTTGAATATCGGACAGGATACACTTCAACTATAAAGAACCATATCGTTCGTTTAATACCGTTTGATCGATCAGTCTGTGTAGAAGATATGTATGTTTCTACGGCGATACGTGCTAAACTTCGCAAGCCAGGCGCGTGTGGAGTGTTTTCCTTGCAAGTGAAATATGATCCAGCTTCTCGCTTGAAATGTATAAACGCAACACTTATTGTTGATGACATTCAGCACAGCAGGAAGTCTTTGTCATGATCGGTACGAATCTAGAACGTTCCTTTCACAATCTCTTGTTGCAAATGACATTTTTATCACCCGAAATTATAACACATAAAGTTGCAATTTTCCAAACGCAACAAACACGCTCCCCTACCTCCCGACCCATAGTCAAATTATACGTTTACTCCCAGATTCTGGGTGTGACGTCATAAGCCCCGACCAGGGTCTTTGCTTCCCAAGAGCAAAGAGCCTGGGAACGAGGTTGCGAAATTTACTGCTGACTGACAATTGTCATGCGTATATTTTTAGGTTCCTGAAGATTATGGTGGTTTAGGTCTCAGTAACACTTCAGTAAGTATCACATTAACGAATTTGTGTGGGATTGTAAAGGCTTTAAAGACTATATACACTCATTTGATTTCTCTCGTTTTTACATTATTGTACTATTGCCGTGATTATTATACAGTGAAAACTGCAGGGCAAAGTATATTATTCAGTGAAAACAAAGTAAGAATATTATTTAATAGTGCAATAAAAAATTACTTTCCACTTTCATGATTTTGTTCATCTCTTTAGTATTCTCGATTGGTTGAGGTTGTTGGTTCACATGATCTTGGTGTTGGCATAACACTTGGTGCTCATCAGTCTATTGGTTTTAAAGGAATTCTCTTGGTTGGCAATGAGGTAGAGAAAACCTTACAGTATTTATAATAATATGTATTTTGTAATTCGCGGTATTTTCACTTTGGTTGTCAAGTTATCAGTGCTTAGAATGTCTGCAACAGTATCTGTGAACTTCTAACAATGCACTATATTCAGTAGTAACGGAGTTTGTATCCAAAGAAAGTGGGCTAATCCATGCACGTTTATACTTTAGCATTGTGTCAATCCGATCAATCTGTCGCAAAGCAAGCATCCTCAAATCTCAGAAGGAGTGATGCCAGGCCAATCAATCTTCTACATGTACAGTAATACTGTATATGTAGACTTGATTTTAAGCTGTTTTCTCCCTCACATGTCGAAATCGACAGTCTATCAGGAGAGTCTATCAAAATGGGTGCAGCGAAAAATAATTTCATGTATTCAGCGAAATAGTTTTCGTTTGCATGTAAACACTGTGGCCAACAACATAAAAAGTAACCAACGTAACCGTAATTCGTCATCAAAATGCTGATGCCATAGTCCTAGCCAGTGCGCTTATGAGAAGCTGCGTCGACCTTCTGTGTGTCTTTATTCTGTGGCCAGGTGGTTGTATCATCTACAAACGTTCGCTACGTTAACCTATTCCTAATTATTTTAGTCGTCTGCCTCTCATATGATAATTTTATATTTTGATTTTGTATTTTGCAGGAACAAAAGAAGAAATATTTACCCAAGGTAAACATGCAGTATACAATTACATTTTTGGCCCCATATGGAGTCATAAAGAACAAGATGATGAACAGAACGTATGTTATATAAATGATGCAAAAACCATTATACATGTATTTAATGAATTGTTTTCGTTTTCCTTAGTTGGCCTCTGGCGAAACAATTGCAGCATTTTGTTTAACAGAACCTACAAGTGGATCAGATGCCGCGGTAAGTAAAATAATATGATTATTTAAAAACGTCCATTTGATTATGCATTTCTTTTCATGATTTCACATTATTAATCTCCTGCTAGATTATCCAGTTCGTGTTTTTATTTGGAGTGTAGCGCAGTTACACAAAAGATTTGTTAAACAGCTTTTCTGCTCGTGAATTTGATCCATTATTAATTTTATAAAGGGCTAAATCGATTAATGCTGTGCTGAGTGGTTATATTACTACCTTAAAAAATAAGCAGAAACTCGACGTTTCGAGCGAAGGCCCTTCGTCAAGAGTTAGTATATAACCACTCAGCACAGCATTTTCACATTGGTACTACCAACACTGGTACAGACAGTTTTAGTAATTAAATCGATTAATGTATACCATATTTAGGACTAAATTACATGGATATCACGTATGTGTGTAAACTTGACCTGTAACCTCGCAGTCCAAGGTCTTTACCTGACCGTCTTTCAATAATCTTGACCTGCATATACCTATAGTGTTAACCAAATTGCGGATCACTGAATTAATCAATTATGACGTATTACCACTGCACGTAGATTGTTTATTATAATGATCTCTTTATTAATTTTTTCGAAGGAACTAGATTCTGTTCCGAAATATCACTTACTCGAACCGTCCTGACCGTGTAGCTCAGTTGGAAGAGCATTGGGCTAGTATTCCAAAGGTCGTAGGTTCGAATCCCACCGTGGCCGGGCATATTTTTCAAGCTCGCCCGGTGTGGATATACACTCAGAGTAACACCACAAAGATCTCTTTATTGTTTTAGTCCATACGAAGCCAAGCAGTGTTAAGTGAAGATGGAAAATACTGGACTTTAAATGGTGGAAAATTATGGTAAGGATACTCTCTAATCTCTAGAGATTTAAAGTAGGGGTGCACCGGAACCAATTTTTTAAGTTGCGGCCGGAACTGGATCTGGCTGGAACTGGAAATAAGTTCCGGCTGGAACCGAAACTGATTTATTAAGCCATATATTGTCATATGTTACTTTATCTGCTGCCAGACAGGCAGACACTTCAAGTCATTAAGCAGAGAGCTCGCAAATGTTAGAATAAAAAATTGAAAAACGTTAAACGTCATAATGAAGTGTTAATAGTGTCCATTTTCCTTGTGTAGTCTTCCTTCCTACTGTGAAGTCTGTTTGATCGATGCTATTCAATAAATAAACTTGATATTTTATCTCTCTGAAAACGACAGAGTTTCGGTTCCGGCCATGGGTTTTTTATTACTTCTGAAAAATCGGGGTTCCGCGGCCGGAACCGAGTTCCGGTACACCCCTAATTTAAAGATACTTCATGTTGGACTACAGTACAGCAGCTAAGCAGTGGGAGAGTGTTGTGCCTTTACTCATTGAGTTTCTTGGAAGCAATCGAGCATCTGACCAATAATTTATCAATAATATCATGCAAGTTGATTATATACAACACGCGTTATTCTGGTTTTTTTTTAGGATCAGTAATGGTGGGATCGCAGATCTATTTACCGTATTTGCAAAGGTTTGTGTGTAAAACATTTATTATATATACTGCAGACAGTTGTCTTGAAAGATATTTTTGGACCTAATCTACGTCTTTCGAAAGCTTACTGTAACCTTTTTATCCCACAGGCTATTTTAACTTATCTGTCAAAAAATCCAGTGCAGTATAGTATGACTTCATTACAGTAAATTCAGTACAGGTTTTACAGTATGTCTACTTTAATACAGCAACCTATATGCTTGCATGCTACTTGTAGGGATGTGTTGGATACTATTTTCCCGGATGGAACCGGATAGTAGTCTACCAGATACCGGTCAGGGCATAATTGATAACCTGATACCGGATAATAATCGGATACTAGTGGTGTTATTTGGACACTGCTTCACTATTTCCCCCTATAATATAAGGTCCATACTTGTATTTTCCCCCATACTATACGGGCCATTGTTTTATCTCTTTATGTAATAAACATTTGTGGCACAGGCATTGGCGAGCAATCTACAGCATAAAGCTTTTTACATCACGAAAACATTTTCCTAATGCACAAAAAAAGGCAAAGGTTCTAATAAAGGTTCCAGTACTATCCTGTAAATATTTGGCAATATTTTATCATACAAGATACTGCCGGATGTCTATATTTTACTGGATACCGGTATCCGGCACATCCCTATAGTTACTTGCGCACACAGGTCATTCATTTTGTAAGTTTGATATAACCACTGGCTAAAATTTCGATTGTCTTGCAGACGCCAATAAAAGATGAAAAAACTGGAGAAATAAAAGAAAAAATTACCAGTTTTATTGTGGAAAGAAGCTTTCAAGGAGTTACCAGGTAATAAAATCTTAGATATTTACAAAGTGGCGGTGGTAGTTTATCAAATGAAAATAGTAATATGTTGAATATAGTTAGCCTTTCTCACGCCGCCATTTTTGGTCTGCGAGAAGAAGTGCACATAACAGCGACTTTTTAGAATTTTTTGGACGAATGATGGTAAATTTGCTTGTAAATGGTTAGTTTATTTTGAAAAATTGCTTTTCACATTGGGCCAAAAAAAAATATGTGGGTTTCCAGTTTCCCGACCCTACCTAGATTTTGGACGTCGAAATCCCGACCCTAAACTTTTTTATTGGATCGTGCTTGTAAGTGTTTCCACTTAGAGAAAAAAGTTTGTGGAAAATTGAAATTTGAGGCAATATTAGGGAAATTTATCTTTGGATGTGGAAGCACTGACTAAACAAAATGGCGTCCTGTTGTTAGGAAAATTTAAAAATGAAGTTGAAAAAAAAAGTTAAAACCGACCTACCCTACCTAAGTTTTTATAAGAAGAAACCGGAAACCCGCATATTTTTTTTGGCCTTGTTTTAATTGTCTGCATTGGTTAACGAGAATTACATGCCACCCAAAAATGGCGGATATTCGTCATCGTGAGAAAGGCTAATTACGTTAAATCGTTCTTTTCTGTTTTTAAAGTGGACCTCCAGAAAAGAAGATGGGGATCAAAGCATCGAACACGGCTGAGGTAGCCTACGGCAATTATAGTATTTTGAGGACTTTTCTCAAGTCATCTGATAACGATATACAATATACATGCAGTGTTGTGGACGTTTTCAGGTTTCGCTGAATGTTATAATGATTTAGCCTCTTCTGCAGGCATCTTTACTTCCTTAGGAACCTTTAGTCTAGTGATGAATATTACATGTACAGTAGTTTGCAACCTCGTAAATATAGAAATTAGCGAGAGAAGTTGTAGAAGACAAGCTTGAGGATTTACTGGTTAGATATACCAGCTGCAGTTATACAGATTACTACTTACACTTTAGCGGAGGATTACGTTTAGAATAAGAAATTCTCAAATTCATACATATACGGAATTTATACTTGCTATTCGTTTTAGGTGCACTTCGATGAAGTAAAAGTTCCTGCTGAAAATGTTCTGGGAGGTAATTTGCAGCACTTTAAAATGTGCAGGGGTTCCAGTGTTGGTAGTGACCAATGATAAGATGGGTTACAGTAGAATGTAACAAATACTGTAATCTCTAACAAATCTTGTATTTTTTCCGCCGCACGTCCGCATGAAAGTCCTGGCGACGAGATTGCCTATAATATAAATCCAAAGGAAGAATTTGAAAAGTCAAAAACAGTCGAGGTCATGAGTTTTATATCTACATTTCTTAATTCTTGAACGTCTTCCGTGTTTGGAAATGCCTCATTGGTTATATTTAGTACGCATCTGATTGGTTAATCGCGGATATAATAATAATAATAATATCAAAAGCAGCTGAAGGTTACCAGTTCCTTAATGGTAGCGGTATCAATGAATTGCTGTTGCCATTTTGGCAAGCTCTTCTTGTCCTTCTTGGTATTTTCCTAGAGCTGTTGAATGTAATTCGTCTTTGGCCTTCAACAGCTTCTTTTATCATGGGTTTCGGTTCGAAAATATGAGTTTATGCACAACTTCATATATTTCCTCCATGGAATAGTGCGCAATATTGGCAATGAACAAATCGATTATTAAGCATACTCTTTTGGGACAAGTATATGCGTGCATGAAAATATTTAATACTCTACGTAACTTTACAGTATGAAATTCAAAAGTATCATTAACCTTGAGCCATCTCTTTTGTTTTATTAAGAAATTGGAGAGGGATTTAAAGTGGCGATGCATATTCTTAACAATGGTCGTTTTGGTATGGCTGCAGCGTTATCCGGAACCATGAAAGCATTGATTGCAAACGCTGTAAGTTCAATATATTTAACAAATAGAAAACATTTTCCGTCTTTTTATACAGTCATAGAACACGCGTGGTAGTAATTTGGGAGAACGAGAAATAATCATTGGAAAAACGAGCCTGAAGGGTGAGTTTTTCCACGTTAATTCGAGTTCTCTCAAACTACCACTCGTCTTTTTATAACTGTATAGAAACACTGGAAAAAATGTTTTCTATTTCTTTTATATATAATATAACTCAAGAAAAGTTTTTATAGCCATTTTCTATATCGAAAATGTGTTTGCTGTTTGCAAGTTAACTTTAAAGTCGACGTGTTTAATTAAACGCATGAATATATTTTCATTGCTAGACTGATTTTGCTGTGAACAGAACTCAGTTTGGGGACAAAATCTGTCAATATGGAACAATTCAAGAAAAGATTGCCAGGATGAATGTTCTGCAATATGTTACTGAGGTAACTATGTACAGTATACATAACTCCGAGAACTATATGAACATTCTGTCACTGTATGATGGAAGACAAAACTTGACAACAAAGTTGTTTAAGGAAATCGCCAGTAAAACATAAATTAAATGACTTGTTGCCACCACTAAATAATGATGGACATACATTGTGTAACACAACAGCATATTATTAAAAATATTATACCTCAACTTCAAATTGTTCAATCAGGAAGCACGTGAGCATGTAATTAATCGCGATATCACGCCTTACGTCATCAACTAGCGAGCCTGCGTTCCTTTTGACAATGTTCCACCACATGTTCCCCGGGGAACATGGGGTTGAACATTATTCGCGTAGACCACGCGAAACAACACGCATAACAACAAGATGGCCGACAAAATATAAATAGTAATAATGAGTGATGAATAATTAAATTTTAAACGTAAAACCAAAATTTTGAAGCAGTGTCATTAATATTCCAAACGAAATGTGATTCGAAAGAAAAGCGACGTTACTTGCGTTAATCCAAAAATAAAACATCGTATATATTCACGAAGGTATGTGGCAAGTTTTACATTCTCAACTTGGAGGCTTTTAATTTTCAGTATAATATATCATTTATAGACCTGGAGCGAGGGGGATTCGGCGAAATATTACCCTCAGTGATGATATTTCACTCGGGGCATATCCGGGTAATAAATATCATCACTTCGGGTAATATTTCTCCGAATCCCCCTCGCTCCAGGTCTATAAATGATAAATGTAGATTTTTGCACATGGAATTTTCAAACGAAAATTTATATACAATTTTAGACCTACAGTAACCGGGAGAAGTTGCGAACAATGTAACTTTCGGCCCTCCGGCAGGAATATGTATACAAGAACTCGTTCTGTCGTTATTCCCCGACAACTGGACGTATGTTCGATTTCTGCCGGAGGGGTTCCATCTACGAGAATCCCATCTACATTCAGTTCTATCGAACCCAAAATCTTGATATTAAAAGTGTTCTATTTTGATCATGTAGTCCATGGCGTACATGCTGAGTGCAAATATGGATCGTGGAGCTCCTGAGTTTCAGATCGAGGCTGCTATCAGTAAAATGTTTGCTTCGGTAATAGAAACATGAATTTTTTCGTTGTATTCTTTCGTTGAGCTTTATTTAACTAAATCCTGAACGTTAATTATTGTTCATTTCCAGGAAGCGTGTTGGTGGGTTGCTGATGAATGTATCCAGGTTGGTAAAGGCCGGTGTAGTTCAATTTGAAAGCGTGAACGCGCGATCGAATGCTCGAAACCAGGCCGCTTATATATAGTATAGTATATACGCGCCCTGCTCGAAACTGTCCGCTTCGTCTGCGCGGGCGGAAATCGGCCTTAAGACACGCATTCTTTTATCCCTCGATCACTACAGCAGTTAAATCGTTTTGCGTTTTGTTCTGTGTGACATCAGTAGCCATGATACAATAATCATGCAATGTTGATTAATGATTGTGGTTTACGTGATGTGGGGTTGTCAACCTCGTGCGCGTTCACCGTGCTTCTCGTCAATAGGGAAAATAGATCCACTGCATGAGCTTGCAATCATAGAACTTGTTGACAGAGTTACTAAAGCAATCGATAGAGGAGAATACACGATAGGTATTTTCCTCGACTTGTCAAAAGCCTTCGACACAATTGATCACAAGATATTGATTCAAAAACTTAATCACTATGGTATACGGGAATAACTCAATTATGGTTTCAAGATTACTTAAAGATTAGAAAACAAATTGTTAAATACAACCAAATTAAATCAAAAGAAATGGTAATTAAGAGTGGTGTCTCACAGGGGTCAATTCTTGGACCAATTCTATTTCTGCTTTATATAAATGATATTGAAAATTGCAGCAAATTAATTTCATTTATATTATTTGCAGATGACACTAATATATTTTATAGTAACAAGTGTCTAAAGACACTTAGTAATTTTATACAAACAGAAATTGATGAAGTTGCTGAATGGTTAAATGTGAATAAATTATCTCTAAATACTACAAAAACAAAAATAATTTTATTCAGATCTCCAAATAAAAAACCAAGTCAAACCATTAAAATTAACATAAATGGTAAAAATATTGAACAAGTTAAAAGTACAACCTTCCTCGGTATTATCATTGACGAACGTTTGACCTGGAAAGATCATATAGCTAAAGTAACAAAGAAAATAATTAGAGCTGCTGGTATAATAGCTAAAATACGACATTTCATAAAACGAAATACTCTAAAACTTATATATTATGCATTAGTCTATCCATATTTGATATACGGCAACTTAACATGGGGTAATACTTATAAAAGTCGAATCCAAAAAATAATGAACATACAAAAAAAAATTGTACGTCTAATGACTTTCAAATCTTATTTAGAGCACAGTGAGCCAATTTTCAAAGATTTAAATATCCTAGACATTTTCAAAATCAATTAACTGCCTTATTTATGTTTCGATACCACCACCTTAACAATTTACCAGATTTCTTTAAAAATTATTTTGTAGCAAACAACCAAATTCATGAACATAACACGAGAAATGCATCAAAACTTCACAAATGTTATAAAAGAACAAATTATGTAAAACACACTCTCTCAAATAAAGGAGTTGATGTATGGAATTCGTTAGAAACAAAACTTAATGAAGTAAACTCATTTAACACCTTTAAAAAGAAAATTAAACAACATTTTTTGCTATACACAATTACCAATATATAAAACATACTTCTCTAATGTATATAATGACATATACTTTAGTCTATTGTAGCCCAGCATTGACATTGTAAAATTAAATGCATCTACAACATTACTATTAATTTATATGATACGAACATTCCCACTTCTTTTTCTCTCTTGTAAATATAGTGTATATACTTCAAAACTTTCTGATTTTACATGTTATGTATTGATTGACTGTAAATAATCGATTATGTGATAAAACGAACAGTATAAACTAGAGACCTAAAATAAAAAGTCTATGAAGATTTCTAGTAAGTCTCTAGCCCAACATCTTCAAATTATTGTAATATATTTTAAGTAGATTTTTATACATGGGAAAATAAATAAAAAAAGAAATACATTAGGCATACGGTTATCTAATTTTCTCGTAAATTATTCGAAACATGTTCGTATTGCGATCTTAACATAACGACTTCTTACATATTAATTTTCATGGTCAGCATTATACAGTATCATGTGGAAGTATGAGCGACAAGTGATGGTCGGGGTAATAAAAAGACTATATATAAAGTACCTTCCTGCGTTATGTGATGTTCTTCGTGTACTGACTAGTCCATGCAGTCAGATCCTGACTGACATGCTCCGGTAACTGCCATGACTACAATGATTACTTTCGAAGTGAAATATTTTGCGATATTGTCGGTAAATTAGTCTGTCTCAAGTACCTATGTTTCAAGTACCTATAATGTCTATTCTTTTTGTTTCGCTGTTATGATTATACGCCATCAAATTTGTTATTCAGTCTTTTCATGATCCATCTTACGTTGGAGTTTAAATGTTTAAAACATATATGATAAGTCGCGGAAGTCATTTGAAGCCATCGAATCGCAATTTTGTTTTATGAGTTGAATTTACAAGTAATCCTTGATTATATTGCTAAGGTTGTAGTTACGAATTTCGTATTTTCTCTTATCGTAGATCTACGGTGGAATGGGCTACATGAAGGTAATTATTTGACTTGATATCATAATCGAGCTGTCTGAATAGTATTTTGAAAGTTTATTATCGTTGTAGGATGCTGGCATTGAAAGGGTCATGCGTGATTTAAGGATATTCCGTATCTTTGAAGGAACCAATGACATTTTGAGATTGTTTGTTTGTTTAACAGGAATGCAAGTGAGTGAAACATTTTAATAGTTGTAGTTAGGTCTGCTGTAAGTATAAGGGTGTTTTATTATTGGATGTTGTGTTCTTTTAACCATGCATGCATGCTATGTGGAATAAAACCTTTTATCAGCAGATCTAGAAACTCTTAAAGGCGCTGTTACACTATGTAACTTGTCTTGCAACTTGTCGCCAATGGTAAGAAAAACAGTTCCATTTATTATAGCATTGCATTAACACCTAGCGATATATTTCATGCAACTCGCAACCTTATAAATATATTCACAATTTTAGGATGCAGGGAAAAATCTACGAGAACTTCAGAAATCATTACAAAATCCATTTGGTAATCTGAATGTCGTGCTGTCTGAGGGAATGAAAAGAACACAAAGGTTTGTTGTGAATTGTGTTGTATTGATCCAAAACGTCTAGATAAAGCAAGGGTGGAATAAATAGCGGACAATGGGACCCTGGTCCCTGAACATTTTAGTGGTCAGCAGAAAGAAAATTGGAAAATATCAACGTCGGAATGGAACTGCAGTCAGCGGGCACCGTCTGCAGTCAGCGGTCCCATCTCTGAGATAAAGACTTGATAGGTATACCAATACTGTTGAAAATAGATTAAACGTAGAGTACGCTGGAGGTGTACAACTACAATCTTGGGCAATAGTTGATAGAACGACCAATGGCGCACGGGCTTTCCTTGCCTGTTTCTACTACGTGTATTATCGATTTGGTTAACGAGCGAAAATTCGTATAATCCAGACAAAACAAAATTGAATGGGGGGAATGAGTTGAATAACAGGAATCGTTCCACGCCGACCCGTTTTTGGCCAAGATTGTATATATGCACAGGGTTACAAACATTAAAAGATTTCTTTTTCGTATTTTCAGAGCAATAGGAGTAGATTCAGGTCCATCAATCAGTGAGCATGTTCATTCTGAACTTGGAGAGAGTGCTAGACAGGTAGTTCAATCTTTCATTTACATTTATAACATTACGTTTTATTCTCCGAACCATTTTATTCTCATCCGCTGCAGTGAAAATGTTTTCGACGCATATTCAGTTCATTTTGATGGAAATCCAGTCAAATGTATCGCAGGGGTGTATATAATTACCATTTGTGCCCCCCCCAAGAGAGGGGGGGATGTCATGGCCATGCGGAAGAAAATGACCCTAAAGAGGAAGGGGAAGAAAGGAGGGAAAGGGAAAGGAAGGAGGGAAAGGAGGGGAAAAGGAGGGAAGGGAAAGAAGGAGGGAAAGAAGGAGGTGCGCTTCAACTTCGACGTGCGCACAGAGTTTGTATAGGACAGCGGCAGTGGTGACGTTACTTGATGTAACATTCAGATAAAGTTCATTTAAGTAGATGGTTTTCTCTTGTTTCCACTTTCCATCCATCGAACTGACTTTACGTGTGACGCAAAATTCTTCCAATGGCTATTAATTCATGCTTTTAATATACTGCTTTCTGGTATTTTAATAAAATACAAATGAATGAATAATTCAATATTGTTCATAATAATAATATTAAATGAAATAATTTTATTAACAAATGTAGTTATGTAAAATATATGAATTTTTGAAATGATCATCAACCTTACTTCAAAACCAGAGTGTTACCTACTCAATCATTAATTATTTTCTTAGGAGTCCGAACCACTCCAAGATTGGGGAAGAAAGTAACCCTTCCGGATTTTTTTTTTGGGGGGGAAGTAACCCCTCTGGTAATTATATACACCCCTGATGTATCGGGAAAACAAAATTTCCAAAACACCGCGTAACTCGCGTCCTGAATATCCAAACATCGTGAAGTTTTCGGTATTGACTAATTTGAGCATGAAGATTTTAATTCTGGGGTCCATTTGGGCCAAATATGAAGATGAAAAATCGATAACGCGAAATCGGATCGGAGAATAGCTAGACGCATCACCTATAATTTCTTACGTGCCAGTCCTGCGTGTTCTTGGCAATAACGATTATAACATCTGGTCTTTAGATTTGTCGTTGACTTTTTCAGTGATGCAAATACTCTTATGTTACGCACTGTGATAGAGTATTTTATACGATGACTAACACAAAGTCATTCCCAACTGAAGGGCTTCCGAGAAGGCAATGATGTGGGTTCGGATTCCAGCAGTGAATTCCAGCAGTGAATTCCAGCAGTTGAGTTTCTCGGCTCGAGTTCCTTCAGTGACATTGTAATATTTTCTCTTCAGTGTTCAAAATGTATTGGAGATTTTGGTGCAGCTGTAGAAAATCTTCTTGTTAAACACGGAAAGAAAATAATTGGTACGTAGAAATACAAAATACAGTTTGCAACACGTGTTTATGTTTTGTTCATTTCTTGTCTTTTCTCGTTAGAGGAGCAGTTTAAACTGAAACGTCTCGCAGATGCTGCAATGGATCTCTATGGAATGGCAGCTGTGATTTCCAGGTGGGTAAAATGAATTAACCAAACACTTTTACTGTATATAGACCTTTTATTTTATTAATTATCTAATTTAATAATTTAATACGCAAGTGCACTAAGAAGTGGAAGTTAAACAATTTCGTACACTTATATAAACAGAACTAACCTTTTCATCCTTAGACTTGCCTTCCTTTCTTTGTCAAAGCAGCATGCTGCTATTTTGCCCATGGTATACACGATAATCATCGCCCATACATGGTACAGTCGTGTATTACTTATTATTTCCTTCAAATAGAGCATCGCGATCTTTATCAAAAAATATACCAAATGCTCAACATGAGGCTGTTATGACGAAATTCTTCTGTGATGAGGTAAGCGGATAAAACTTAAAATTAAAAATACTTTCAATTGCTAAAGTTGATCTCTAAGTATTTTAGTTTAGTCTTGTAACTCTATCGAACGGCTGACGTTTTTCTATATGAAATGTGTATTTACAGGCGTCCCGCAGAATAAGCAGAAATTTACGAACATTAAACAACGCAACAGATTTAACTAACGACCAAAGAATGTCATCAATTGCGAAAGCAGTTTATGAAAATGGCGGTGTAGTGCAGGAACATCCCTTATACAATTGTAAATAACGCACAAGGTACAGTGTAGTTTGCACTTGAGTGTGTTGTACTTTATGTCGTCTTCATTTTGGGGGTGATATTTTGCATTCTGTAGTCCAGTGATAACATGCCTGATATATATATATATATATATATATATATATATATATATATATATATATATATATATATATATATATATATATATATATATATATATATATATATATATATATATATATATATATATATATATATATATATATATATATATATATATATATATATATATATATATATATATATATATATATATATATAAGAGCAAAATCATCAAATGGGTGTAGAAATTTGTGAACCATGCATGCATGCATGCATGTAGACCTGTTTGCCTCTCAAAGGGTTTTTTATTTGTCCCTAATAAAAAGTTAAAAACCCCTTTGAGAGGCAGATTGGAGCAAGTCTAGAAGCCATGGTGCGACGCTACATTCACAGTATATAAGGGGTTAACTAACTTAACTCCAAATTCAAAACTTCAAAACTTAGTTGAATTAAGAATGCATGGACCAGCGGCATGCAGCCAACTATAAAAACCATGTGAATAAGGCATTGGAGCTACTAGTCTCCCTCGCACCCGCTCTTTTTGTCGTTCCTCACAAAAAGAGCGGCTGCGAGGAGACTATGGAGCACTGAGCTATACTATATTACTGGAGGAAGTGCTCGGCAAAAAAAGTGTCCGCAAAAACATGGCGGATTTTCGCGCCATATGACGCCATTTCCATGACAACTGGTTCCTCCGGCTCATGAAATTACCGCTGACCAGGCTCAATTCTGAGCCCGCTACAATTTTACACCCCCCTGGTTTTATCAAAAAATTTTTTGCTTTTCGAGGTTTTTGCAGTAAAATCTCGTTTTTTTATATTTTTTCGACTTTTGACCATTTGTTAAAAGATTTAAAAGTCGTACACGCTATTCTCACCCGCGAAAGACAACAAACCAATATGAAAAGCCCGAGAAATTTTGGCAAAGGCGATATTTGATGGCGGAGCTCACAGGTAAATATTTCACATACTATTGATATGTTTTGTAATGGGAGTAAATGATAGAATACAATCCATTAGATAACAGGCTCTTTGTATAGTATAACGTATTATTTTCCCCCATGTGTTCAAAGTCTTGTCGTAAAAAAATACAGAAACTTTGTTTTTATATTCAAAAACTTTGTTTTTTTGGGGGTTTTTTTTTACTTTACTAGCTTTGTTAAATTGTTGGCTGGCCATGGTTTTTGTTAAACAAATTTTGTTTTATTTAATTCAGTTAAATCAGTTTTTCCCCTCAAATCCTTTGGGTTTTCTATATAGACTGATGACTGAAATCTGACATGCTTGATTTTATGCAATTGTATGTGCTAAATATTAAAGTGTATATACAGGTGTAAAGGCATGAAACAATGTGCTTCTATCTATATTCTTTGTGTTTATATATACTAGAGTCTGTGGTTATTATAGTATGAATATTCTAGGGTGCCAGTAGAAAGTAGCCTAGGGGTGCCAGAAGCTCAGGATACTGTGGGCAACTTATCTGGTAATATGATTTCTACCTAGATTTCTGACTAATGACTTGAGCCACTAGAAATAGGATTGTACTTCTTGAATGTTGGGTACCAATCACAACTCACAAGTGTAGGTATAAGCAAAGTGTCTAGATTATAGGCTTTATAGGGTTGCACTGGATCTTATTATACAGGCCAGAACTGAGAAAGTCACATGCTAGTCAGACATCAAGTCAGAAACAATTTAATTGGTAGATAATATCACTTGCAGTCTATGTAGGTGGATTTATTTGGGGTTTTGTTCATTTCAGTCCTCTCTCTGTGCACCCCTGTATCAGATGCAACTACCTGAAACTAAGAAATCAATGAACTTCAACATTTCAGGTGAAAGACCTAATATAGTATTATTTTTCAGGTAGTTGCATGATACATTCAAGCCTTCAAATAGTGTAATGGCTTAAACTGCTTTTCTCATTTCCTTTCTTCACTTTCTTACTCTTTTGTCTCTAATGAAAACTTTATTTTACAACATTTTAATTATATAATTTCTTTTTGGTCTAATTGCAGAATTAATTGATGGTGAGAGACAGTTCACAGTTCAAACTCTTTATTAAAGAATAATCAATTATCAATTATTAGAAATAATTAATTTTGTTAGCAGTGATAAAACTATCCAGACAAGTTATTATTGTGACTTTGTAGCCAGATGGGTATGATTTTGCATTGGCTGTTCAGTATTTTGATCCATTGTGATATGTCTTGTGGTATCTGTGAATGATTTTACCTGCAAAATGAATGACAGAATATCAGAATGTAACATTACATTAAGATACATCCTTACACTGCAATAAAATTATGTAATAGATGTTCAGTGTGAAGAATATGGTCTTTGACACTCTTTGTATATAATAAACATGCTATTATGTAATGGAAATGATCAAATAAAGTTATTTCTGCAACAGCCCTTGCATTCAAACACCTTATTTGTATTTTTCTTGTTCATGCTTGAGCATCAGCCTCAGGATAAGCAAATTCCATTGGATTTGTGAGGGCACTTGAACTATATTGGGTCATTATACATGAATTACAGAAAAGATTCAGACTCCCACAGCCTGTGCTACAAGTTACAGCTGTGACAGTGTAGAGGGGGGATCCACAAGTAAAATGTGCTAGAATATCGAAGGGGGGGGGGGGTGATACAAATAAAAAATGATGTTTAATATGACTTAAAATTATTAAGCAATTGAGTGCACCAGCACTTTCCCCTTAACAAGTAAAATTATCTGGTATTGGACTGAGTAGGATAACAAAGTAGGGCATAGTGTTCCTTTATTAATCACCAAGTGCCAGAGTGGCAACTGGCAGGGTACTGAAAAGGTAGGTTGTGCACATGCATCCTAAATAAATACTGCTACAAAAATCTGGTAGTTAACAGGTAAAAGTTAAAACGTAAAACCAATCACGAATTTCATTATTTCAAAGTAATATAAAACAAAACAAGTCGGTAAAAGGATTTTGAACCCAAGATATGAGATAAAATTACAGTATGAGAATGAGTTTGAATATAAATAACAACAAAAAAGAGGATACAAAACTACTGTGATATTGTTGAAATTAGAAATATTATACATTTGCTGTTTATAACAGTAGTTTTTGACATAATGTATTTATGCTTTTCCATCGAAATTGCAAGTTAAATTTGCCCGAAGCAGCCCAAGTTTTGGCAAGCTAGAACTTAAAAAAAGTAAAAGAAATAACTCTTTTGTGAATCTTACCTGAAAACAAGAAATATAATAATCCTTTCAAGTGAATTGTTTCATCTACAAGCAGACTAAAAATTTAAAACTAACACACTTTTTTCTCGACTGCAAAAATATCAAAATGTTCAGTCGAAACTCGAAAAATTATTATCAAAATTTTTTCAAAAACCAGGGGGGTAAAGGATTTTATTTCAAGCGTAGGATCGCGGTTGGTCAGTGGTAATTGCCATGAGCCGGAGGAACCAATTGGCGTCAGCAAACATGAAATCCGCCATGTTTTTCCGGACACTCGTTTGACTGAAGGATAGATAGGAGCACGTCCTCCAGTAATGTTATAGCTCAGTGCTATGGAGCAGTGAGCTCCATATATATTTCCGCCATCTTGGCAAGGAGTGTGCCGAAATTTCGTATTTTGACTTCAATGTAAAGACTAATATGATTTTATGAACTGAAAACGTGATTAGAGGTCTGTCAGAAAAAACTGGATTTAGCTGGGGAAAATGGTATAAAAACTGTTTACGACCTTCAGAGCTATTGGACGTCAATGGCCGCCAACTTGGCTTCACTTTTCTCATATACAGTAGGCCTCATGACTGATATTCTTGTTCCAGCTCACTGCTATGTAACTACGGTCAACTACCTACTGTACTGGTTAACAACTCCAAAGATCACGTGCCGTTCGAAGATTTGTTACTTCCAGAAAAATTAAATCTACATGCATGTACTCAAGTTACTGTTAATCAGGAGGCGGATGCAAAAAAGGCTTATTTTTCATTTTCGATAAACATTTTGAGTAAAAGCATGAAACGTACATTAAAGTCTTTGTCGTACCATGCATGCTGATTACGAATATTGCTGTTTCCATCTTGAAATCTAAGATCGTCGCCAATTAGTGGGGGATTCAAAGGTATTTTTTCTATTAAAGTACTATTTTCTAAAAAAGGTGAAATTTTCTAAGTTCATTTTCCCAACAATTATCCATACCAATAGAAAGATACCATATAAAAGTATAAAATTAATATAAGATATTTGATCATTGATATTTCCGTAACGAATGACTGAAAGTAAAGGACATAATAGAGTTTTTTATTGCATTATTTAGGTCTATCTTAACTGTATAACAAAATTATGAAATTTTTAAAAGTTTTGGTTTTCCTAACTATATAGATGATGTCATCGCTAGAATAAACGTCGGTTTCTCCTGTTTGTGCACACTTTTTACATGACACCACCTTGACTGTTTTAAAAGCCATAGTTTTCTATAACTTCATGAAAGAAAACCTTAGTTTCTCGGTGTATACAACGAAACTCATTTTCTAGGCACATTTTAAGCCTACAGTCACGATAGGACTACTGCTAGGACGTTGTTAGTTGTTGTGGCACTGTGACAAACAACGACGAAGCCACGAAGGCGCAATGACATCTGTACTTCAATGACATTTCTTCTATTCATAGGCATACGAGAGGGGGGGGGCTGGGCTGTTTGTACTTAAACGTCGGGCACAATTGTACCCCCCTCTCCCTGTTGACATGAATATTGGGAAATATACAAGGGAAAAATTATGAGGTCTGGCGATTTTCCCCTAATTTTCTCCCGTACGCCTATCCTTCTACTTCTTTACATCTTTAACTTTAATGGTACTATATTCACGTTACAAATTATGGATGTGTGCTATGATCTATGTCTATTAAGTTTCAAAATCTCACGGGTTGTTACGAGGACAATTGTCTATTTCGTTTTGGATTAACGCGACGCGATTTTCAGCATAGAGTTTCATTTCTGGTAGGCCAGCATCATTCGCCGACTGTTGAGCTCGTTTGGCGAACTTTAAAGCTTTTTTCATGCGAGGATTGTCCGACTTACTGTACCGATAAAAGAAGTCCGACTGGGCGAGATTGTGTTGAACGTCACGAAATTCACTAAGAGGAAACATTTCGTGGGTAACAATATGTTGACTTTTGTCGAGACAATTTTGTGCTTCAGCCTTGCTCATTACTGAAGCATCAGGATCTGCAAGCATAATGCCAGCGAGAGAGCTGCCCGAGAAAAACATCGCTTCGTTCATGTAAATCTTTTGTCTGAGGTCTGCTTTCGCAGCTTCGAATCCGTGCACGTATTGTAAGTGACGTTCAGCCGTATAGTAATATTCCTTTGCTTTGCTTTGCTTACGAAGGGATTCCTTTCGGATTGATTCTTTTTCTTCATGGCGATAATGTTGACAACAATCGCTATAAGAACGAAAAATGCTGCCGAGATGATACCAGGTTGGATTTTATCTAATTTGTTCAAACATTTCTCCGCAATTTCGTAACTTGTCTCGAAGTTACCGTTTGATCTTTCTTTTAAACAGAGCAGGTACTGTTCCATAACTTCAAATACCTCTACTTTAGCTGATTCCGGCAATATAGTCTTATATTCTTCAAACATCTCATCAGCTTTTTCATAATAACCTTTCCTTAAACAATATTTAATCAACTTGGACAGACAGAGCAATCTGACGTCAACTTCGTCGTGGGTTGTTTGCGCATTTTCAGCTGCCTTCTTCAACTCGCTCCACTCGCAGTTATCATTCAAAAGTTCCGTCAGCATTTCGTCAACGTCAGCTTCGTAAGAGGCTTCGTTGATTTCTTTGCCATCGTCTAAAAAAATGCAGGTTTTATTCTCATAAAGCTTGCGCATGCTATTATGGAATAATGGAAATTAGGTGTTATTCAAGTAAAAACTCAATCAAAGTAAAAACTGTCTTGCTTTTCATGCATTTATCCGTGTTAAATTGTTGAATGCTGTTCGATTTTATCTTAAGGATTATATTTTACAATGAGACACAAAAGCCTCACCTTTTTAAGAAACGTAAAGATCCGAATAGCCGTGTTTTTGCTGGCTGATTCTAAAAGTAAGTTTTACTGAGAGAGTCGAGGGAAGTTTATGCAAATTAAGACGTGTTGTACAGAGTTGCAAAAAAACTGTGGGGTATATGCGGGTATATATACCCGTGAGGAAGGTTGACCATACAGTATATGTGAGGTCAGTGAGGAAGGTATAATATACGTTAAACACCCTACTTTCTGCATGGGAACCTGGTTTCTGTATAGCAATCTTAACATATATACATGCATATATGCTAGCAGTCGCCACCCTGCACTGCTTGTCTGTATGTGAGTACAATGCAATCAACCAGCTGATCAATGCTAAATAGAGCCATTTTCATAAACAGCCATTTTTACAATTCACATTATTTTGAGGAAGCTTTGAAAACCTGAAACTTTATATATCCTGAGGAAGGTTGAACACTTTTCTGGTGTTGTAGATGTGGATACAACATATGTGGATATTTTATTTTCTACAACACCAATAAATCCCGAATAACTTTCTCCATATTCAGCCCAAATATACATCCTCTCATTTTCAGAAGAATAACATTTTGGACAAAAATCTTCATAATCATAGAGTACATTTTTATATTAACAATTGCAGAAAAAATTACAGATATCTCGATTTGAATACACATTAATTAAGTGATTATATAGAATTCTATTGAAATCTTTAGTTACCTTTATCTCTTTCCAAGCCTTCTACGATAATTTTTTTCCAAGTAGGAAAGTCAATCTTCACTGCCTCATTTTCTTCATTGATCTGATAAGATTCGGGCTGCTTCGTAAACACACCACCAGGGCATTGGGCGACATAAATGACGATCACAAAGGTTGATGGAACAATTTCACCGTTGGTATTTTTTACTGCTTCAAAGTTGATTTGCCATCGCTTCTCTTCTCCACCCTGCATATTGCTGTTATCAGGCCATATCATATTTCCGATTGCTTTACTTATCTCTTTCTTTAGGTCTGTTTGGTCTCGGAGAGTTATCTTTTCTCCTTGGACTATACCGTTATCATCTATGCCAATATAAATATGACCAGCGCTATGATTTGCGAATGCAGAAACATAGCACATAAATTTGCCATTTTTAATCAAGCGTTGAGCGAGACCGATGTTTTTTGTTCGCTTTTCTAATAAGTGTTTGAACTGGACAGTTTTCGATTCACCAAAATCAACTGCAGTACCCAATGTGAACTCTTTAAAATGCGAACCCGGTTCAACAGCTTCTAGGGGAGGGATATTCCTACATAAAATGTCCCTGACTTTCTTAAATGAAGCATTCGGTGGCACCTCGATGACTTGTTGGTTGGTTGGTACATATAAATTGTAATGTAATGTAAAGATACACGAGGTGTTTGACTCGGCAACAATGATTTCCATTGATCCTTTCTTCTTCTTTATACTAAGGTCATACGCAAGCGTTACCACTCCTGTAAAATCACTTATTTTTTGCTCGATCTTTCTTTCTGACTCCTTGATATGTCCTTTAGGAGGAAGGGGAGTATCAAAAACCAGCGTCAATTTGCCTCCATCACCGTTAAATAAACCGTTTGTAATGTGTATAATTTTGTTGAATGTATTGTTTTGGTACCTTTTGTTCAAATCATCACTCATCTTTGTGGCACAAACGTGCAAATCAATATTTTTCTTCCCAGCCATTGTGTGATGGTGATAAAACTTTCCTTGAATGTTATCGTAAATGGAAAAACGGCCATTTTGTCAGAAATTTAAAAATTTCAGCGCTAGCCCAGCTTTGCATCCTAAAAATCAAAAATTATTGATTGAATAATAATATTTCGTAGCCAGCAACATTTTCATTCATCATCCCATATTTTCAGTTTAAATTATGGCATAATGTACAATGTGTACACAAATATATCTTGTATGTTTAAGGCAAAAAAAAATCCGCATTTTGTCATTTTTGACTACTCCAGCTCCGTATCTTTAATACTGCGCTCTCCACAGTCCGCGTTTTCTGTAATTTGTCTGAGTGCCACGTCAGTTCATATCAAATATTTTCTTTACACACACAGCACTCTATAATTATCACACTATAACAATATCAATTTCGCGATTACGAAATGAGATAAATTTCATTGAAATGAAACAAAGTCAAAGTGTTTTCGAATTATTTTCATTATTATTTTCATCAATGAGTATTAACGTCCTCCGCAGGCAACTTAGAAGTAAACGACAACAGTCACGCAATATTTCGCAAATGAACAAGCAATTGAGTTTTAGGCGTCCGTCCAAACATTATATTAAATTAAATGACACCTATAAAACGGATCGAGTCAATTACTGTATTGTGTGACTTTCAGTACGTTTTTTCAACTGATAACCTTTTAATGTACCAGTTAGGGTGATAATATCATTAATATGCGATTTCCTAATTTAATACGACAACTGTGATAAGTTAAGCTGTTAAAAACTGTGATTTAAAGATCAAATTCTGCATACCTGCTGGGCAGCATTTTTTTCATCGTTCTGAAGTCGCTATAGACGGCCCGTGGTAGTGCGAAATCGACAACTCCACCTAACAGTCCTGTAAGCTTTGTTTTGAAAGACGAAGTGCCAAACCGAATCAACTATTAATGTTAACAAATTTTAGGGGAATTCCCTATAGGCTATACGAGATTCTTACTGGTGTCCCAATATTTTTCCCGTCGGTAAGGAACCATGGATAGAATAGCTTAATAACGGTTAGGATACATTAGTTTTGAATTGGTATATAATAAATAAAGAGTGCAATAAGGAATGATAAGACAATTCCACAAAAATCCGTGGGCAACGAGAGGCGAAAATTTGCATATTATACAGTATAACACACGTAATATTTGCATATTATACATGTATATTGTACACACGTAAAAACGCACAAGTTGTAACAAACATGCAGCATACTTGTAGCAATGCTCTTCCAACAACTTGTCATCAGGATGTGTTCGCACTGCTTGTTCCCAGCTTGTTGACAAGTTGTCAACGACTTGTCGACAACTTGCTACAAGATTGTTGAGTTCAACAGGTGTTATCTTCCTGCAATTCAACAATTTGTCAACAAGTTGTGAGTGACAACCTTGTAGCAACTTGATGAAATAACAGCATTGTTACAACTTGTTGTCAAGCTTGCTACAGACCTGTGTGTAGCCCGCATCCATCTAGCCCGCGCCAGGCCTAACCCTCTTTGGAAATAAGGCAACGAAGGAAAGATGGCCGCGCGAAATCGCCTCAACTCGTATACCCAGCCGTAAACTACGTCTAGACTTTTTTCGCCTTTTAACGTATTTCCCTCGAGTAAAATCGTATACCTGCCATGAATGGTCATATGCATGTATAACTCTATAAAGAATCGTCAAACATTTTTAATTCACATTAAAATACGGCAAAGAAACGATAGTATTTATTATCTAGCCTCCTCCGCAAGCATTGCCTTTAGATTATATATTATTTTCCGATGGCCACCCCTGATTAGTGAGGATTTTTGGCCGCAGTGGTCAGTAGCTAAGTTGTTATAAGCTCTGAAATCATACGTTTGAATGATTCAGTATTCTCTGGAAGAGCGTTCCATTGCCAATGGCATTGTTAAATAGTTCGTGAATAACTATTACTAATAATAGACTATTACTATTAGCCCAATAAATCCGCCTATTGCGAATTTAATCTCTTTGACGATTTTATGATTTTTTATAGAGTTATTCATGACCATTTTTGACGGGTATACTCGAGAGAAATACGTTAAAAGGCAAAAAAGTCGACGTATAGTTTAGGCTATCCTGTCGGAGACTGTATATATATATCTTAATATTTGTGATTTAATAGCAGGATTAATTATTACTTTAATTAGGGACGAACATTGCATGATTGACACATTTATATTATTATGAAGAGGAGTTAAAAGATAGGAATGTAGTGACTGTGTGACTGTGAGAGAGACTAGACCGCGTATACAACTGTGAGTGATTTTCAATAATATAATTTTATAAAACCGAATTTGCTTCGTCGAGAGTTTGATTGTTCAATACCTTTTAGTAAGGGTCAATTTACTAAACCTGGCACCTCCGACGGGATCGTAAAATGAGTGAGACAAACGCCAGCACCGCGCTGGAAACAAAATTATTTCAATTGCAACTAACGACGAAGCGCACGGACGGAATTCTTGCAAAATCCGAAGAAGAGCCTATTGCTCGACATCAGGGAACACTCAGAACTGTTATTGGCGAAGTGGAAAATCTAAGGCTTACGGTTGAAGCTGAAAAACTGGGCAGAAAAGAGGATACTACCGAGTGGAGCGAGGAGATTGATACCAAAATCAGCGAGGCAGATAGTCATGTAAGACTGACGAAGGAATGGTTGGCGGAAAACAAGAGGAAACTAGAGGAGATGGAGAACGACGAGAAGATCAAGTTTGAGGTAAAACTGCATGAAACTAAAGTAAAGTTACAAGATGAACATATTCTTAAAAACACCTCGCAGACCAGTAAAACTATGATTGGAATGCAAGCGAAATTACCGAAGCTAGTGATTTCGAAATTTAATGGTTCTCCTATGGATTGGCCAAGGTTTTGGGGACAATTCTCAGAGAACATTGATCAATCCGCAATTGCCCCGGTGACTAAGTTTTCTTATCTTCGCGAGTTGTTAGAGCCTAAAGCACGACAAACAATCGAAGCATTGCCCTTCCACAGCGAAGGGTACAATCGAGCGATAAGCATCCTGAAGGATAAGTTTGGGAAAGAATCCGAGATAGTAAAGGGTTACACGCGCGAGATACTTGGGTTGCCCACAATACAAGCGGCCAATCAGAAAAAGATTCATGAGTTTAGCGACAAATTGTCGTACTGCGTTCAAGCTTTAGAGACATTGGACAAGCTTGACGGGGTCAATGGCGCCGTGCCAATGACTCTTGATAAACTGCCTAGCATTCGTGGAGATTTGGTGCGAACGGACCCTGAATGGGAGAAATGGACCTTCACCAAACTAGTTGAAGCGCTCAACCAGTGGTGTCGAAGAAATCCAATCGACAAACCATCTGAACTAAACGACGACTCGTTTAGCAGCAAGAGAAGAGACAAGCTGTTTCATGTCTCTCGTCAGAGATTAAATCCACGTAATTGCGTTTATTGCGATAGCGGCGAGCACAAAACAAACGATTGCGCAAAAGTAACTCTGACGTCAGCCCGTAAACAGATACTAGCCAAGAAACGATTATGTTTTAATTGCGCCGCGGGCAATCATAAAGCCTCTGAGTGTCCGAGTAAAGCCACTTGTAGGAAGTGCGAAAAGAGACATCACACGTCTATTTGTGATTCTCACGACAACAAGGCCGGTGGTCAAATTTCTGGCCAAAATTCAAACGTTGCCATGACTACATGCCAGAAAAGCGAAGCGGTGTTTCCAGTAGTCGTTGTAGAAGTCAATGGAATTCGATGTAGAGCGCTGATTGATTCGGGAGCTGGGAGCTCCTACGTGTCAGCAAAACTGATAGACTTACTCAAACTGAAACCATCACAATCCCAGATTAAAAACATTGACATGTTAATGGCCTCTAAGACGTCCAAACTCGAGATTTACGATATGAAATTTGACTCGCTAGACGGCTCGTTTAGTCTTCCCGTAAGAGCTACAAAGGTAAACAAGAGTGAACTTTTGTTGATCGACAATCCCAAATACCCCAAATTAATCAATCAACACCCCCACTTAACGGGCGTGACAATGAACGACGATGACGTCAAAGATACCCTGCCTGTCCATGTCATTTTGGGGAGCGGGGAGTATGCGAAGATTAAAACGCAAACAAGACCGAGAATAGGAGACGAGAAAGCCCCTATCGCTGAGTTGACCAAGTTTGGTTGGTTTCTAATGGGCCCTGGGTACGAGTTCGAAAGCAACGTGATGTTGATGACCCAGACCTCCCACGCCGAGTACGAGGAATTGTGTAGACTGGACGTTTTAGGGCTCGAAGATACCCCCCAACATGACCAGACGGTGGTATTTAACGAGTTTAAGGAACAGTTGACCCGATCTCCCGAGGGATGGTACGAGACCGCGTTACCTTGGAAACCAAACCATCCCTATCTTCCAAACAGTGAACGTGGTAGCCTGAAGCGACTCGGAGGTTTGACTAAAAGACTTCAACGCGAAAACTTGATGGAGAAGTACGACGGCATTATACAAGAACAACTCGCTGAGGGGATCATCGAAAGAGTTCCACCCCCCGTGGTGACCGGAAGTGACTCCATTCCACCTCCCGTGGTGACCGGAAGCGACCCTTTTCCACCTCCAGTGGTGACCGGAAGCGACCCTGTTCCACCTCCCGTGGTGACCGGAAGTGACTCCATTCCACCTCCCGTGGTGACCGGAAGTGACTCCATTCCACCTCCCGTGGTGACCGGAAGTGACCCTATTCCACCTCCCGTGGTGACCGGAAGCGACCCTATTCCACCTCCCGTGGTGACCGGAAGCGACCCTATTCCACCTCCCGTGGTGACCGGAAGTGACCCTATTCCACCTCCCGTGGTGACCGGAAGCGACCCTATTCCACCTCCCGTGGTGACTGGAAGCGACCCTATTCCACCTCCCGTGGTGACCGGAAGTGACCCTAGTTCCACCCCCCACTGTGAGCGGAAGTGACCTAGTTCCACCCCCCACTGTGAGCGGAAGTGACCTAGTTCCACCCCCCACTGTGAGCGGAAGCAACGCAAAGGAATTCTACATTCCACACAGATACGTAGTCAGAGAATCAGCCCAGACGACCAAAATGAGGATTGTATATGACGCCTCGGCCCGAGAATCACCCGAAGCTCCATCCCTGAACGATTGCCTCTATGCAGGACCAGAACAAGAACAAGAACGAGATAAAGATTCTGAGAACGACCCCTTCGAGAACCTCCTCCAACGTCACGATCTGCTTCGCGCACTCCGAATTCTAGCCTGGGTACGCCGCTTTACGACAAACCGTCATCGTAGAGGGTCCCTGACGTCCGATGACGTAAGAGAAGTTCGAGACTGGTGGACAAAACGAGAGCAAGCGAAAGATTCCCTAAGACCCCACTTCGAGCATACAAAACAGTCCCTTAACCTCGTCATGAATCAACACGGGATTCTCGAATGCCGCGGAAGAATCCAAGGACATTATCCTATATACCTCCCAGCCGACTCTGAGTTCACTAAAAAACTCGTGCAGAGATACCACGTGGAAACACTACACGGTGGTGTGCTGTTGACGATGGCAGCAGTGCGTGAGATCTATTGGGTCCCGACGTTAAGACGACTAGTGAAAGCTGTTCGTGCAAAGTGCTATGGCTGTAAGCGATTTACAGCGACGCCGATCGTAAAACCAATTCCAGGAAAGCTGCCTAAAGATCGTACCACTGGCGGGGTAGCGTTCGAAGTGATAGGTACGGACTTCGCGGGCCCTATACGCTATAAGTGCTCCAACAAACGCGAAAGGAAGAGCTACTTAGTCATATTCTCGTGTAGTTTGTCGAGGGCAGTCCATCTCGAACTGATAAAGAACCTCGAAACGACATCATTTATCCCGTGTCTGAAACGATTGATCGCACGACGCGGGCGTCCGAGAATCATCTACTCTGACAATGGGGCTACGTTCGTCAAGGCCTCCAAGTGGTTGAAGCAAATCAGGAACGACGAACGTGTGCAAGGCCTTCTGCAACAATACGACGTGTCGTGGAAATTCAATCTGAGCAGAGCCCCGTGGTGGGGTGGTCAGTTCGAGCGATTGATCGGAGTGGTAAAGAGTGCTATGTACAAGGTGATCGGTGGGGCGAAGCTGACGTGGTCGGAATTGAACGACGTACTGCTAGATGTAGAAATCCAAGTGAATCGACGTCCACTAAGCTACATGGAAGATGACGTAGAACTTCCAACCCTAACCCCTTCTACATTTCTATTTCAACGAGCTAATGAATTACCCGAAAGTGAATCATGGCGGATCGAAGACCAAGACCTACGGAAACGAGCGAAGTATCTAACAACGTGCAAGAATAGCTTGTGGAAGAGATGGCGACGCGAGTACATGACCGCGCTGAGAGAACGTCACAGCCTCGTCCATAAGACTCAGAAATATAAAGTTAAAGAAGGGGACGCAGTGATCGTGAAGACAGACGATAAGAATCGAGGGAAATGGCCACTAGCTATAGTGGAGAAGTTATTCCCAGGACCAGATGGTCGGACGCGAGCTGTTCAGCTCAGGACGAAAAATGGCGAGATAGAAAGACCCGTTCAGGATCTCTATCCCCTAGAACTCCAGTGCGACACAAAAGGGAACGCGAACGAAGGCAGAGTCCAACTGAACCCCAGAGCCCGAGCGTTCGTACCGAAAAGAGCTGCCGCAGCAGATGTACGAGCAAAAATAACCGCCATAGCAGAAGATCAAGAAGAAGATATGTGAACACTATATAATATTTACACATTAACACTAGATTCATTTTCAAGTTTTGTTTTCCACGAACACGATAGTTTAGAAGCGCAGTCTCCTTAGGGAACATACAATTTAGCTCCTAACTTGCATGGGGGAGTGTGTCGGAGACTGTCTACATATATCTTAATATTTGTGATTTAATAGCAGGATTAATTATTACTTTAATTAGGGACGAACATTGCATGATTGACACATTTATATTATTATGAAGAGGAGTTAAAAGATAGGAATGTAGTGACTGTGTGACTGTGAGAGAGACTAGACCGCGTATACAACTGTGAGTGATTTTCAATAATATAATTTTATAAAACCGAATTTGCTTCGTCGAGAGTTTGATTGTTCAATACCTTTTAGTAAGGGTCAATTTACTAAAGTTTGTATTTTTCAAATTCCTGCACAAAATTTAGGTCGATTATTTAATTGTGTTTGAATAGGATTTTTGACTAAAACGTTTATAGTACTTTAATGTAGAAATGAGTTTGTAAATTTGTAATTGCAATAAATCGCTGTAAGCCTGTAACCAAAGCTGGCAAAGCATCAACTGAGAATGTCCGTTTTGCATAACAGACATTACTACATATAGACACATGCAGCCCCTACAAGTCAATGAGGGTATGTCAAGTCTGTACATTACGCCATGTTGTATGCAACAACAAAGTATACTTAACTGTATTTATGTGCCTGTCTCAGATGACAGATAAGGACGTCATAATATAATGATAATTAAATTAATCTTCCTCGATCTTCTTGCTAAGGCAATTAGTGTTCCCCGAGTTTGACTAACGATCGCATGTCGTAGGTAGAAAGTCGCGGGTCGCGAGTTGTAAAAAAGCTCCAAACCGTGTATTTTATTGAGTCGCGCGGGTTAATAAAGTGTGCAAAAATCGCGTTATCATTTAGTAAACAACTTTATATAGGATTACTTGATTACTTTAAAACGAAACAGTGCCCAAGAGCCTTTTGTCATGATTTAGTGGTTCTATTCTTGGGTTTAATTTTACTGCGGCATTATGCAGTGAATCTGACGGGGGGTCAACCTCTAATGCATGGATGTTTATGCTGTATTGGAATGAGAAAATGATACGAAATTGCATGCATTTGCCACCAAACACAAGGCTAATACATAAAACGAACAATCGACTCACTCTGATAAATGTGTTTTGTTTTAGAGTTGACTCACTTCTGTGACGTCACGTGAAACCCAAGAATATAGAGAGCTAAACGTGCCAGAAACCTAAAATCTGAAAGTATAATCAATTTCAATATGGTAAACCAGCAATTATACCATGATATATAAAAATAAAAATTCTCTAATAAAGAAATCTGTTCTGAAAGAAACAAACAAGACATGTTTGCTACACAATTATATGAAATTCTTCTCATCTCACGAGACATTTGATTTCTTAACAGATGTTATAATGCATCTACGATTAGACAAAGTAGTGGTGAACCGACGAACGTACTACCTAAAGTGTGGTTTTCATTCATAAAGTGCGTATAACATGACACCAGCCCGGTTCAGCCGTTTTGTGGTATGATCTGAACATTATAATTGCAAATTATTTGGTTAAAATTCAGAATTAAAATGCATAAATTAAAAACCGCATTCTTCGTTGACATGCATACATTATAAAATGTAACGTAATGCCATAGGATGCATATGGCAGGATATCGAAGAGTACTAAAGTATTAAATTTAACTCGTGTCCCTCGAAATGATACTGTACAGTACTGTACTGTATATTTAGCCTTGATCTTTCAAAATTGTTGTCAAATTTACTATATTAAAAATGCGGTGTTCCTAGACAGGCTAGACTCACAAATTTTGCAAACTTGTTCCTGTATACCAGGTCTACTACCACACGAAATAATCCTGCAAGGCCAGGATCTTGTTCTCTCTGTTAAGCCCCCGGAGACTTTATAAAGAGAATACTACTATACGGTACATTAGACAAAAAAATATCCAAACAATATACATTGCATATATACGTTAATATTGAATAATACTATAATATTGATAAAAAACATTATATAACTACTGAAATGATAACGTGATTTTTACATATTTTATTTCACCCGCGACTCAATAACTACAGTTGAGATGAGAGGCGATTCACATAATTTTGTAGTGAACACGTTAGAGGATTTTTGTCATGCTATATAATTGTTCGTTTAACATATTTAAATTACACTTTCAGGTTTTAGGTTTCTGGCACGTTTATATAGAGCCAATAAATCACGACAAAAGGCTCTTGAGCAATGTTTCGTATTGAAGCAATCCTATATAAAGTTGTTTACTAAATGATAACGTGATTTTTACACACTTTATTCAACCCACGCGACTCAGTAAAATACACTGTTTGGAGCTTTTTAACAACCCCGCTACTTTTTACCAGCGATACGCGACCATTATATTAGTCAAACTCGTGTTCCTCAAGATCTCACTCATAGGCGTATCGGCCGGGGGGCATCGGGAGACGGCTGTGCCCCCCCTCCCCCATTTTTTACGGCGGAGCAATTGAGAATGTGTCATGAACCATGTGTCATTCGGGGAAAACATATAACTCTAATCAAAGTTGGCGAAGTGTACTCAGGTGAATAAGAGATGCTTGTATGTGATGTTAACCTAAGTGTATATCCACACCGGGCAGGCTTGAAAAAAATGCCTGGGCACAGTGGAAATCGAACCTACGACCTTTGGAATACTAGCCCAATTAAAGCTCTGCCAACTGAGCTACGCGGTCAGGTTGGTTCGAGTATGTGATATTTCGGAACTGAGTCTAGTTCCTTCGATATCAGTGTAATATAATAATCATGATATTTGCTGTATTGGTGTAGTGTGCTCAGCTTCAGATGGATAAGATGCTTGTGATGTTACTCTGAGTGCATATCCACACCGGGAAGGCTTGAAAAATATGCCTGGCCACGGTGGGAATCGAACCTACGACCTTTGGAATACTATTCCAAAGGTCGTAGGTTCGATTCCCACCGTGCCCAGGCATATTTTTCAAGCCTGCTCGGTGTGGATATACTCGGAGTAACATCACAAGCATCTTATTCACATGAGTACACTACACCAACACAGCAAATATCATGATTATTAGATTACACTGATATCGAAGGAACTAGACTCAGTTCCGAAATATCACATACTCGAGCCGACCTGCATGACCAGGGACAGATCTACAATCGCGTGCAAAAATAATGAGACTTTTAACATTTTTTTGCCATTTTAATAAACTACGTCGGCCTTCCCCCTGCCCCCATGATCAATGTTGAAAAAAGTGGGTTGAATTTTCTCTTTTCAGTCATTCAAACAACATTGAATTGAGGATGAGTGGGGCATTTATGCGCGGTTGTCTCAATAATTTTTGTTCCTGATTGTAGGGGTCTGGGGGCATGCATGCTCCCCAATTTTAAAGATTATAACATCATAAAATACACAAAAATAGTACATTTTAAGTGTTTGAACTATTTAGTTTTAAAATGAGATTTTACAGGAATCAGAGGATTATAACATTATATAAAATACACGAAAAATAAGATATTTACGACTTTGAACTATGCAATTTTCCAAATGTCTTTTTTTCCTAGAACTGTCTATCTATTTATTTACAATGGTAGCTTTCTTTTCTTAGCTAAAAATTGAATCAGTGTTAACCCCCCCCCCCCAGTTTTTCAATGGATTTAAATATATCTCGAAGGTGGTTCTGAAGCAGAGTGGGGTTGGGGGGACTCGTCTCCCCAGTCCCCCAGTGGCTACGCCGCTGCCAGTGTTGTAGAGAGGCTGGGACGGAAAGAAAATTGGCCTTGAAAAATTACTTGATTCTTTTCCATAAAAACTACAATAGACTACAAGTCTTTATAGATTAATTTTTATAAAATTTTGTTGAAAACTGAGAGTAATGAAATAGATCGATAGTTTTAACCGATTTAGAACCTTTCTTATAAGATTGGTATCACTCAAGCTAATTAAAATTGATCCATGTGGGCTAGAAGAAAAATCACAAAAAATGTTTAACAATTTAGCAGGAATGCTAAGTGGCCCAACAGACTTAGATGAATTAAGATTATTAATTTTCTCTTCGACTTCCGAAGTGTTTATACAGGAGAAAGGAAAAAACTGTGGCATAATGATTTCTTAAGAAATCTCTAAAATGAAATACCTGTTATCGGTAACGTATTATAGCAATATTTGAACCAATATTAGAAAAATAGTTGTTTAAGGCATTTTAAATTAGCAATTGATTTTGAATTAGTCAGTTTTAAATTTTCCAATTCCAATAAATTAGGAACTGGATAAGGTTAATGTTTTAGTGTTATCAGCTGCTTAATACCTTTGCATGTATTTTTTATATTGTATTTATTATTTGCAAAATATTTATTATAAGATGACTTTTTGCTAACCAGTATAAGATGTTTAATTTATTTTCATAAGTTTTGAATTTAGAAAAAAATTGTTAGTTTTAATGTATAATTGTTAGATTTAATGTATAATTTATAAAATTTAATTTTTACGATATCTGTAAAGAACGAGTTGAAATTGGACCTGCAAAATACCTAATATGTCGAAATCACGTACTTTCCTATGCAGAGACTAGGCAGAGATATTGATTGCTCGGGAACATACTTAGACAACTCGGGTGGTACCATTTTTTTTACGGATAAAAGTTGGACAGAACCGGTGCAGTTTTAGATATGCACATTTTGGATTTTTCAACCGTAAGTTATCAAAAATACAAATTTTGCATTATTCCCATTCAAATTATATAAGAAGACGCCATTTTGAATTTTTATTTTGAGTCAAAATGCGCATGCTTGGCAGCCATGTTGGACTCCATTTCTGGCCATGCTATTCAGAGGTGCATGCCTATTAATAATAGCGGATAATTTATTGTAAAATAACTCGAATGTAAAGCCTGGTTTTCCATAAAATCGTAATTATCGCGAGAACCGCATATAGCAAGCGTCCCCGAATTAACGATTTTAAAAACGCGAAATTTTTAATAAAAACGGCGATTTTTTTGAAACTTGAGTCACGCCAATAACTAGGACTCTTACAACAACGTTGCAACGATACAGTCGACTTACTGCCATTTTTGTGATAGCGATGTCTGCGTTCCGTGACTCTTGCGATGATTACGATGTAATGGAAACCAGGCTTAAGTTTCACATCTTCAGTTTCATGCAGGCACGACATATAATTGTGTTTGATAAATTGGAAGATTGGTTAAAATTAATATTTCATCCATATTCTTTAGATATCAACATTTCAAACATTTTGATATTGTTCATCATGCTAGCAGTTGTTGAATCTATTACAGGTAATTCTACTATACACTGTAAGAACGGATTGGTTAATGAAAATAACCCATTGGTTGTCTCAGATGCATTTTCTTTTGGCCAATATTATTTGGTCAAAACAACGGAAAAATTGGTTAAAATAACGCAATTTGTGGTTGTTCCTGGGGGACTCCAGAGTCCAGTCCCACAACAAGTTGAGTTTAAATAAAAGATTATACCTTTAATAGATTGTGCCTGAAGTATCTCGGTCCAAATCGTTTTAGTAAAGAAGAAATCGCTCGTCAAATTTCGCGAATTTTGCAAATTTCGACGCCATATGTTGTTCTTTTACGTGCAGGCGCGAAATTGTCAGCGCCCTTATTTGTAACGTCATTGCGTGCTTCTGAAGTGTTGTTGTTCTCGCAATGCTAGTGTTTTACATTTGATTTCATCATGAATATCGATGTTTTAAGTCCATCGAGCTATAGTTAATCGGATTCAAGAACTTCAAGTTCTTCAGGTGAGAGTTTATTTTTATTTTATTTATTTTTTTTTTTTTATTAGTTTTACAATAAGAAATTGAAGGCATAGACAACAGGACTAATAAAGTCCCAAATTAAGTCCTGCCATACATGAAAATACTACGCTATACTATGCTATACTATACTATAAACGGTTATAAAATTAACAAAATACATAGCTAGTTACATATTTACGGTATTACATAATTACATTCGTACAAAAACTCAGAACATGCACTTCTACGAACAACAGGACGTAAAACAAGAACGACATTTAGAGCAAAACGTTTTCCAAGTCCTAGGCCTATTAACATCAAAACATGCATTAACTTTTTGAGTGTAGTGATTAGTTTAGATGAATTTCATAGGAATATTTTACAAGGGGGCGAAGTCCTGGGCTACCAGTTTGAACCTAGACGAAATACCAACAGCGTCAGTGCCATCCTCGTTCCCAGGGCTTCTCGGCTGCCTGCGTTGCCGTAAGCCCTGGGACAAGCCAACTGCGGAACACCACAAATTCTGGTGTTTTCCGGAAGTAAACGCGCTCTGCAGCAAGCTAAAAATGCTGACTATGCACTAATTTTTACTGAGGAGTGGAGACGTGTTGGTGAGCAGAAAATATCGGATTTTTCTTTTGTTTCGATGTATTTTCCACCATCAAGGGAATATGAGCTGACCACCTAATGGAATTATACATATTGGAGTTTTATATTTCGTTATATCGTTAATATTCGTCAAAATACAATCATATTTCGGTCTCGTAAACTCTCGTATTACATGTATCAATTTTCATGTATGATGTAAACATGATCGAGTCGAAAATTATGTGCTCTAAGTGGTTGCTGTGATTCGAAACATCATGGGTTCTTGTACAGATGATCTGTTTCAACACGCGCTTGTAAAGTCACTTCAAATAATGGACAAAGCCGAACTGGAAATAAAAGAGAAGTAATTCAAAGCTTTATCGTCTATCGACTATCGTATGTTGTATAAAGGAACAAAAACGACATGTGACATGTCTAAACGGCGGTGTGTGTCTGTTTACTGGGTTACAACAACGGCAATAAGAATGAATCTCCTAACATTTCAAGAAAATATAAATTATAGATAGATGTCATGCATGACCCCATGAGTTTTGGATTTGAATTGCTAGATTTAAATCTATATTATGTATACAAAATCATGCGTGCGTGAATTTGAGCAAAAAAGCACAAGGTGTTTGTTTGGCCATATGCCCATCATGTAGTATGAATATTGCACACCTTTTTTTATAGCACGTTTAAAACATTGTTTCCACGCCGGATAATCCTGAATCCTTTACCGATTACATGCCTGGCAAATGACGAAAAATAATTATGTAAAATAATTAACCTAATATGTCTTTGGACATGAATGCAACTCACTATGCTGCTTTATACATGACAGTCAAAACTATGTGCATGGCTGTATGGCCCAATGTATGTTACTTGTTTCAGGGAAATTGTTTCAGATTAAAGTATAACAATATTTTCTGCATTCCAATATATTTTCTACATGCAAGTGTGCCTTCTGTTTCAGCTAGGGGCCAAATCATTTGAGGCCGAATGTGATAGCCAATGATTGGAGGGTAATGTTAGCAAATTTGGCTCCCTTACATAATGTCAAGTTATCACTCGTCAATTTTTAAATTTCTTACAATTTCACATCAGAGAATTCATTGCCCCCCCCCCCCTTCCCCATTATCCAGAAGTGTGACTAAGCGTTTTCTAGTATTTATACAGGTGTCCAATCTAAATCTCCACCACAACAGGATGTATACATAAAGTCTGATTTATCAATATATTACTACACATTTCCACATTAAAAATATGATGTTTTCCAGTTGAATATATCTATAGCAGGAGGCTTAAACCAGAATTTCAGAATACAAAGCAACTTTTATGTTATTTTTGTAATGGTTTGTTTAATTAAAATCCATTTTTATACAGACATGATAGGTTGTCTCCTGGCTAGAAGCCTGCATATACATATACAAATTTTCAGTTTTGTCAGTAATAATAGTTTATTTTATAATTTCAATTCTTACAAGATTTGCAATAAGTCAACAGAATAAGTACTCTATTCTGAGTCTGAACTGTTGACAGGAAACAGTATAAATTCATGATCTCATCCAATATGACACAAGAATTCAAGACCCCCACCTCGGGCATACCAGAGCCCATTCACTTAATTTGGTGTGTGAAATTCAGTGAAGTCCCCTGCAGCCAGGACAAAAAGGCAAGGTAAATTTCTTCTGTCCTATCATCTCAAGGTATTCAATTGGAATTTTTACTTGAAATTTCCCAAACCATTCCTTTACTGTTCTGTAAAAGCCTTTCCTAGCCGATTGCTTTATTTCAGCATTTTTATAAAAGACTAAGCCTTTCCTAGCCGACTGCTTTATTTCAGCATTTATACAGCCGATTGTTTTATCTCAACATTTATATAAAAGACTAAGTGCCCCCCCCCCCCGACCTCATTCATTCCTCGACTTGGACACTGAAAGTAAGCTGCCTCGTACCCAGGCGCTTACATGAAGTATTCAGGTAGGCATCCGACGCGCGAAGGGGCTGTTGGGAAGCGTGCGTGCTGGTCTCGCAGTTCAAGTGCACTCTTCCCATCAGCCCCTTCGCCATCTCTCCCCACTACAATACTTCATGTAAACACGTCATATGGGCATCACTGCTTTTTTACAAAGAGACGTCTGGGTACGAGGCAGGAAAGTAAGTGTGTTCCCTGTTTGCCAAGAAATGATAAACCAGTGAATAAGAGGCGATTGTCCTTGCATTCCCCTCTGGTATGCCAAAGGTGCATTCCGCTATTAACATTACTAACTAATAATACAACTGAGAAAATTCAGAAATAGTAAAATACACCTATAATATTCTACATGCTATATTTATAAATTCCAATTGGACATTTTAATATAGGGCCATTTTAATATAGGTGGGTATTATTAAATAGGCCAAGTGACCAATACTAAAAGCATAATAATTAATAAAACACAATATATTACACCATTAAAACTTTACTATCGTAAATATATATTATTAAACATTTTATATTTACAGTGTGCCTAAAATTTTACAATTATACTTGAGCACAATGTTTTAATAATAGACAACTTTATATTCAAGAAAATGTTAAAATGAAGAAACTTTTTAGTGGCTTCATAATTGACGTTTCTTCGATATTGTTGCTTACTTCTACTTTATAATTGTCCACTTTGTTATTTTCTTTCTTTCTGTTTGCAAATTATCTCCATTAATCCATAGAAAACAAGCAGTATAGCCTCCTCCGAGTATACGTTTGTATTTCTTCGTATTTCGAACGCGCACTCCCTGAAGGCAGCCATATTGCCGAATATAAACATCCACTTGATGAATGAACTTTTCATATTTCACTCTATTTCCAACGACCAATCAAATCACTCCTGCTTCGGCTTGTCCCAGGGCTTACGGCAACGCAGGCAGCCGAGAAGCCCTGGGAACGAGGATGCGTCAGTGCTGAATTAGCTGACAATGTAGACGACCAAAGTATGTCGATTGACGAGGAAGTATCGTTCGTTCGTTTGGGTAATCTTGACTGGTAAAACATCATAATTTGTGGTTTATATTGACGAATTGAATTTTCGTGTTCTTGAATTACGTCATTTCCAGCATAACTATTTGTTATTGTTAGGTGTTTATGTGAACATTGTCAGATAATGGATAGAAAGGAAGAATGCGTCTATTGTCATGAATTTGAACAGGTCGCTAATAAAAATCAAGAAGTTATGGAATACACAAAGCCAACCCTGCCATATAATTGCATAACAGATAATCCAGGTTCCCATACAGTCTGTTTAGATAGATGGGTTTTACAGGCTGCTTGGTTGGACTATAAACAGCAGTATGGAAGCTTAGTACAGCATATGAAAGTCCTGAGCACAAAATCTCTCGCCATGTCGCATACCGCCAGCTAGTGCAATGGTGTTGGGGAGTAGTTGGGAAAGAAATACGAGTTGTTCTTCCATCTTGTACTGTTAGCTGCATTCGAGCCCACTTTCGACCTCCAGGTGATGAAGATGACTTTGAGTTTGTTGGATTTCGCTTTGCTGATGAATAACTTGATTGTTCTGTGAGGTATTTGACATCTTTATCAACTTTAATATACAAACTCCCAGTTCATATATTCAAAATGTCTGTCACGTCTGTTTATTACTGATCCGCTTCTCAATGACATCCTGTTTTGGTGGCTTAGGAGTTGGTGCAACACATTTTGCTTAAGTTTTTGGCTTGTATTTGAATTTTTTGCCTTTCTTACACAAGATTACATCATTCATCATGCCCTCAACATAGCTGGAGGATTTTGGGGTCTTAATCTCCTTGGCCACCCAGTTCTTTCTCTGCTTGCCGAAAACAATATTGAAACTTTTCTCGCCTTGCTTTGATCCTTCCTTCACTTCTGCCTGGGTTCTGTTCACATTTGCATTGTGGTCCAAGACGGCTAGCTGAGTTCGAGCCACCATTCCATTATAACAGAAGTGCTCACGTTTAGGTGTGTATTTTGTCATAAGAGAATGGTATGACTCTAAAGACCCACACAGACCGGACGCGATTCGGCAACGCGACGCGAATTTTCAGTTTTCAAAAAGAAATAAAACCGTCGACGGATAAAAATTTTACAAGATATGCAGACCAAATAGCTAAAATTGCTTAAGTGGTTCCGAATATTTGAAAAACACTGAAAAATATTAAAGTTAAATGTCATTGAAAACTGAAAATTCGCGTCGCGTTGCCAAATCGCGTCCGGTCTGTATGGGCCTTAACTCACCAGTGTGGTGGAATTCTGTTAGCTTTGCCAGATCTTTCAGCAGCTTTTTTTTTGTAATGAATTCTTCCAAAGCAACATGAGCAGGGGAACCATTTTCAACCCATACAATCTCTTTTTGGTCTTCTCTACTTATTCTAGGGTGGCCACACCTTTTTACTAATTTAAATTCCTTGGAGGCCCCCCAACAGTGTTTACCAGTGATGTGATGCAACAAGGACAACCACTTCTCACTTAATCCATCTGCATTCTGCTCGCATGTTACAGAGCACCACCATAAATGGTTGGAATCACTCTGGATCCATGGCAGTAACTCTTGACAATCTTTCTTTAATTTTTTGCCTTCTTTGACAGCTTTTTGGTCACCCACTTGCTAAGATGCCACACATCATACTGGTGAACAATGTTTGAATAGTTTGTCCTCATCTTCGCTGTGATTGTTGTGTGACGATCTGTTGTAAGACATCGGTGTTCAGTGTTCTCTTACAGCCTTCATATTCCATTGCCTTAGACGATGTTACCTCTGTTACTTGAACAAGGCTAAATTCAATTATCAAGTTTGTTTTCTCATCCATCAGGGTAAATGTGCCATATTTAGCAGAATGCCCAGTACTATCGCACCGCCCGTCACCACATACGTCCACACTGTCGCTTTGCTCTAACTTCTTTACCAGTGCACTCTGGCTTGTTATCCAAGTATGTTGCACTACTGGGAAAAGAATGGTAGACTGGGTAGTATAGTAATGGGAGTAGGAAACAAATTGAAGGTTCAGGTACTTGGCAAAATCTACAGTGCGTTTGTAGGTGTTTCCACTGAATAAAATAGCTGCTGATATCAAAATGTTTCCTGCTGCAGTTCCTTCGATTAGTGGTTGTGATTGCCAGGATACACTATGTCCATTCAAACAATTTGTAGCAATTGTAACCTGCATACTTCCCTGATTTATTTGAATTGTAGTATCAATGGGACTTCCACAATGTGAACAAATTCCGAATAGTTTATGTAGCTGAGTTTCAAATACAATATTTTTTTCCACCGCAGGTGCAGTATCACTGGAATATTAATCGTCTGTTTCAGAGTCATCATCAGAAGCTGAAGGACAATATGAAGAACCAGTATCACTCAGAGAGTCATTATCTGCATCATTTGAAGATCCTTGTTTTTTTAGTTCCACAATAACCCCACTTTGGACATCATCACATTCAACCAATGTCGGTTGTTCTTCAGTCACTGGTGTGCATGGTGTTGTACATGGTTCCACCGTGTCTTTATTGTCATCTGTTGAAGAATTATTATTTGGGCCCAAGAAGTAACTGTGATCTTCTAAATGACATAATTTGTTCATGTCATCAGGGTGTATTTTTGTATTTCCTTGCATGTGTAAATGTTCATTTTGGGATCCAACAGTCTTAAACGTTTTAATAAAAGGTTGAACCTGAACCTCTTTATCTTGTGTCATAGTTTCAATATGTCGAGTTTAAGTACAGGTAGTTTGATCCACATCAGCATTTGAACTTTCCATGTTTTCATTTGCATAACAACTATCTGCATCCAGGACAAATATGTCTTGTTCCAATGTTTTTGCAACCTTGATAATATTAACGAACAAAACTGATTATTTGACTGGTTAATGTTTAGCATGAATATTAATGACCCCTGGCAAAATACAACAATATCCTAAAGTTTCCAAATGCTAAATTGTAACCAGTTCATGGGTGAAAATGTTGTATTAAAATTTCAAATTAAAATAAAACATGTTATTTGGCACATTCATTTTATATAGAGCAAAACAATTTCGTCATTGTTCCAAACCTTAAGTTACAATTAATGTATATTAAAATTATATTCTTATCTTATTAACAAGATTTACAACATTGTGTATACATTTTGTTCACAAAGCGACAGGATTGTGATTAGTAAATGAAATACCATACAGTGTGTGAGACAAGAATCTCCAAACCTTTCTTGTCCGATTTCATATTTGTTTCACACTTGACAATCTTGTTTTGTTTTCGTTGCCCTTCGTTGGAAAAGCAAACGTAGTTGGCACTGCTGATGGCTTCAGCGTTCTACGTTTCTTGAAACCAGGAATTACTTCAGCATTCGGTTAAAAGAAAATCAGGTGCAAAATGTGCGCTGCAGACATAGGTATTCGCACGCTCACGAGGGTTCTCTCGACGTAAATTACGCAACCAAACACTTCTGAGAGGCCCATTTGGCAACTATGATAACTTATATCTGTTCCTTTGGTCTTTCGACTGCCATTTGTGCACGGAGGCACAGTACAATGCGGCATTTTTTGTTATATAAACTTTTAATTCTGTAAATTTCAGGTTATAGTATAGCGCGCCGCTATTATTTTAAATTCCCGCGACACAACAAGCACGCAATGACGTCACAAATAAGGGCGCTGACCAGATTCGCGCCTGCACGTAAAAGAACAACATGGCGTCGAAATTTACAAAAGTCGCGAACTTTGACGAGCGATTTCTCCTTTACTAAAACGATTTTGACCGAGATACTTCAGGAACAATATATTGAAGGTATCGTCTTTTATTTTAACACAACTTGTTTTGGGACTGGAGTTCCCCCTTTAACTAATAAAGTATTGATCAAATAAGTGCATCTGAGACTACTAATCAAAATATATAGTTTAATTTGGTTTCACTAAGCACTAGTGTGTAACAGATGGTGGGGAACCAGCCTCTTCGTTATAGCTATGTAGTAGTCTTGTGTCGACGTCTATAGAAGAAAACAAAAAATATAGTTTACTCAAACATGCCAATATCTGATTCTTTTGTTTTAGGACCACAAAGAGAATTGGTTTCAATATACAATGATGAATTTCTCACCCCGCTATCCAGACCTCAATATTTCATTGAAGTTTATCGCTGTGTTGAAGTTAAAGTGGGAGACTGCTTCTCTGGGAAGCATGGGTACCCGGTTGCAAAAACAACGGCAGAAATTGAGATAGTGGTTCCGGATACAACGAACAAAGATCGAGATTCTAGCGATAAAAATAAGTTTTATAAATATGTGGTTTATAATCACACGTCTTGTAAATGTGGGACCCTCAAGTTCAGAGATGGTACACTGTATAAAACCATAACTAATAACGAAGGTTAGTCCAGCTTAAGTGAGTAAATGCCATGAAATTACCTAAAATGATCATGTTTTCTTTCGTTCCTTAGAAAATTTCTTTTATAGTTTTATTGTTATAGTCAGCCTTATCATAAAATATGTTGATATATAGGTTGATGACATTATAACCAGGGGAGCATGGGATCTCTTCCCTCACTAACACTGTAGAGTTAAAACTGCTATACTGAATATCAAGTCGGTTAGGTATATTGTTGGCTGATGCGCTTGAAAACTCATGTAAAGCGCGTTTTCCATTGGGCGAAGTTGTTCGAGCGAAATGACTTTATATCGCTCTTTCTGTCGTGATGAGCAATGGTGACAAGGGATATGGCAACTGCGCGCGAAAAAATTTGCCCGATGGAAAACGGGGTCTGTCCGTGTATTTTTGCTGTACATCGAAGGATTTTCTCCGGATTTTCCTGTCTCACCAAAACTGAGTAACCGTTCCTGCTGCACTCCATGGCGACAACCGGCCGAGCCGCGTTAATCAGCCTTCAACTCAGTGACGTTTCATGCACGTAATTCAGGTCTCTGCTGCAAGGAAATGTGATTATTACACTGCAACTTTGATCTATATAAATTTTACTTGCAGTGTCAGAAGCTGATTACAAAGCAAAGTATAGGAAAAATCCAGTGAATCTCATACATCGGTGTCACAGTCATGTTTGCAATCCTCAACGAAGATACAGTCTCGTCAGTGAGCATACGAACGTTATCCCGAAATCAAAATATGTGGCGTACCAACAGTGCTTGCCTGGCAGTGTGGCGTTAGAAAAGAACAACTATAACATTTCAGTTAAAATGATATCTGGTGGAGTGGGGATTGTCAGCGTTTTAAATGATATTTCATGCCAGGCTTATGATGGAGAAAACGTTGAACAATGCCCGAAGATAGAAAGAGATTGAAACACGTGATAACGGTAAGAATGCTTATGTACGAGTATATTATTGGAGGGGTACCAGAGAGAAGGCGTTTTAAAGAGAAAGGGCTAATTATAGAGGGGTCTTTTAGAGAGGGGGCATACTAGAGAAGGGACGTATAAGAGGGAGGGTTTATTAGAGAGAGGGGATTATGATGGAAGAGGCTTTTTAGATAGGACGGATTGATGTAGGGTATATGAGGATTTACGTAATAAAGAATTGTTAATAATGACTAACAGGAATTCTAATGTTTCTGTTTAGGGGCAAGCAATGAGATTCTAGTTTAAGTTGTTGCTGCCAAAGTTATCCTCCAGCTTTTCTACTGTCGTTGGTGCTATTTAATTAAATATTAATTATGGACTTCACGTTAACGTTGAAGCGAACGAAATAGAAATGAAATTACAGTGCAAAACATAAGTATGCACGAAGACCTAATTCACACGTCGAACATTTAATGTGCCCAGCCTTGGAGCTGAAACAATGAGTTTAGGACACTAACGTTAGCTTCGGATCATGATTAGACTTGCTTCAAGCCTCGCTCTTCATTTTTGATGGCGTGTTATGAGATTATATATACTTGTTCCTTCCAATGCAAGCCATGCACTGCTCTCATAATTGACTGGATAAACTCTCTCAAAACTGAATTCGAGAGAGAGATTTGGAACAAGTCTAGCTTGTGATAATCGCGTCATTTGAGTTGAGCATAAAATATTTGTGACGAAGCAAATTATTATGAGTATACTTTGTGATTGGTTTGCTCAAATACGAGTCGGGTTCTGTAATTAAAAAATGTATTTTCCAATCACAATCGTATTCTCAAATCAATCACAGAACCTGTTCATGTTGATGAGTTCAAAATAATAAAATTTTGTATACTGTACAGATATTAATGATTGATTAATTGATTGAAATATTTTTTATAACACATAATAGTGCAAAAATACTATAAACTTGTGACCCTCACAATATGAGGCTAATGTATGTTTATATCTATATAGATAGATAGGCTTATTCTAAACAAGAAGATATGTAGGCTAGAAACTCTAGTAAAAATCTTTATGTTTCTGCATGAATATTTCTCTGATTTATATTTTTATTGTAGGTTTCGAGTTAATTTTTAAACCGTTTCATTTGTTTCACAATTCCAGTATCTCTTGTAATTCTCATTGAACAACAGATTGCAAAACCACAAAGAAAGTCATACGCGTGAATGAAGCCGGGTGCTTGTAGCTACATCTAATACTAATATTAACCAGCAATATAGAACAAAATGTTAACCGGCAGTATGGAACCATAGGTCGGGCAATTGAGCAGAAATCCATGTGTCATTCGGGCAAAACATATCACTGTCATCAAAGTTGATAAGAAAAACCGCGAATATTAATTGCTTTTAATATACTTTGCCATATATGAAGAATACCTGTATATGAATGATTATGGCTTATGGCAAAGATTATGAAGATTGCAGAAATATTGAGCATTGTTCTTAGTTTTTGTCTTAGTGTTTCTAGACAGTTAAACTTTTGCTAAAGCAGCCTTCACACAATCATACTCATTTGTTTATAAGAGCACATACAAAATCCTATCCCCCACTAATATATTATCTCACAAAAAGGTCCTTTTTCAAAAAATCCCCCCCTCCCCCTCGGGAAAATCCTTAAATAAGGCCCTGATAAAATCTCGACTACAAAGTTGTATATGCATGTATACTGTGTAAGCAAGGCGGTCGGGCAAACTAATACTGTGTCCACCCCGCAAACAAGATTAGGCCCCCCAAACAGGATTAGGTTGGAACCAAAAGTCCAGAACATGTATTGGAATGTATTACTCTTTACTTTGGAATTTTTCAAACCCGCTGCATGGTCCATTAATCGAAATGTAAAGTTTTCAAAAATGTGGCATCACGCCTTCTAGTCTCTCTTCTTCTTCAACACCTTAATTTAATTAATGTCGAACCGGAACAAAACTAATCATGTTACAGTTTGTCGTTCCTACATCATCACGATTCACAATAAACTGGTCACTGATGTCAGAAGATTCCCGAGCTTGGTCATTTGTCTTCTAGTATATCAGGATTTCGATTCCCAATTCCCAGCTCTTCGATTCCTTTCGTTCAATTTTTTTGAAAGAAACTGCATCTTCTGACATTAGTTCATCATCGTGATGGTGCAGGTGGCCTAATTGTAATATGATTAGTTTTGTTCAGAGGCGTGTGACGACATGTGTCACTTCAACTTCTCGCGTGACGCAATTAATTCATACTTCAGTTAATTCAATCACATGCACTGGAGCATTTTGCGACATTTTTTTAATTAGACTGAACGGATTAAAAGAAAAGCTCTAAGTTTTGAATATTACTTATTTACTTGCATTGTCGTAACATTTTAGTGAGTAAACCTATTCATCTAAATCGCATCTAACGTCATGCAATTCAACTCTGGAGTTTTATTTCCATGCAGTGCTATGCCTAATAATCATTGTACACTTAACTTTGAGCTTTAATTATAACGCGTCTGTGAATTTCAGACGACCACTCGTTGAGTGACACACATCGTTGAGATCAGCCTAGACCTAGGCCTTCTAGTCTTATTTATATTTTTTAGTATTCAGCGGTTTTTCACATGAAAAGACTGGGACTAGGTGATTTGGGGGCGGGGCGGAGGAAGCAAGCCTAGAAGGCCTAGTTGATTTCCCAACAACAAGGCCAAAACTGCCCTGAAACTGCCCTGGCTGCGAAATGCCCAATTATTGCGTTCTCAAACAGAATTATTTGCAACTTAACGGCGAATTTAAACCGATACAGGTAAATAAACTCATTTATAGTATAAACTTACTATTTTTATTTGTATACACGTCTAGAAAATCGGTTTTTTATCATAAAGTTCGAAGCAACACTATTATTTAATATGTTGACAAGGTGTAGCGAAAGAACAAAATGAGTAAAATATATACCAAAAGTAGAATCTTTCATGAAATTTTGTCTTATACACAAGTACATTAATATATATTTTCTCAATTTTGGCAAGAAGCAGTCTTGTGTTTGTAAAATATACAAAATAAAACGGATACATATATTATTAGCCCGTACAGTACTGTATATAAAAACGTTCATTGTTTATACAAATGGTATATCTGTAATATTTGAACACTAATTTCAAATTCCTCATTCCCAATTCGCAAATATAGTTATTCAAAGCAAAACAGTAGATTGTCTTGCGAATAAAAGAATTATTATTTTGTGCTGTTTCGCTACACCTTGTCAACATATATAAATAGTGTTGTTTCAAACTTTATGATAAAAAACCCGATTTTCTAGACGTGTATACAAATAAAAATAGTAAGTTTATACTATAAATGAGTTTATTTTACCTGTATCGGTTTAAATTCGCCGTTAAGTTGCAAATAATTCTGTTTGAGAACGAAATAATTGGGCATTTCGCAACCAGGGCAGTTTCAGGGCAGTTTTGGCCTTGTTGTTGGGAAATCAACTAGGCCTTCTAGGCTTGGTTCCTCCGCCCCGCCCCCAAATCACCTAGTCCCAGTCTTTTGATGTGAAAAACCGCTGAATACTAAAAAATATAAATAAGACTAGAAGGCCTAGGTCTAGGCTGGTGGCTCCCTACAGTTATTCTTGTTTAAGCAATAATTCCGTAAAACAGGCTTATACGTGCAGAACGCGAATTCTTTTCGACTTGGTGGCAATATTGGTCACCTAAGGAATATTTCGAAGTAGATTTCGACGATGTCAATGTTCCCATGGCAACATGACGACAGCATAAAGCCTTCCAATTTAACCCATAAATGTGCCGCTATCTCAAAAACGATGTCGGTGACCTATCTTTTTATTTCATATATCAATAAGGAATGATGCTCTGCAACTGTGGTGAAAGTTTAAAAAATTTCTGTAGTGTGTGATTCTTTTAAAAGCGAAAAATTTATTGCGAAATTTCCACACTACAGATTTTTTTTAAATTTGAAATTTATAAAATTTACCGCAAAATAAATTCGTGGTCAAAATTTGAAGATAGGTCACCGATGAAACTAATGAGTAAAATGGAAATAAAGTTAGAAAATAGCCTCGTGTAACTCGAGAAATTCCCCTATTGGAAAGCGTCGCTGACTAGTAAAAAATTGTACGCGGGCGCACAACGAGTTTTCATTCAGCAAAAGCGAGCCGCAATGTTGTTTTTACTGTTTTGTTTTTGTCAACTTTTCGATTTATTTGAGTGCTATGGACAGCCAAGGATTATTGTGAAGGATTAAATCGATGAAAACAAGGTTGAAGCTAATTGAATCCTGCCGTTTACTCAATCTATGAGCTGTATTAACAGCCTATTAACAGGTGGATGTGGTTTTTTGTTTCATGTTTGGTTTTGTACTTTTTGCTAAAAATGAACAATTAGGCTATGAAACTGAAATATTTTTCTGTTTACATACAATCACTTTAATCTTGTAGAAACACGACTAAAAACGTAAACGTTTTCTTGAGAAAGTAACAACTTTTTAAACGTTTGTATGCAATTTTGCAAATGTTTTACAGTTGAGTCAGTTGACAGTATATAAAAAATTTAAAAATATTGTTTCGTAGCTATTGATATTCGTATCATATGTAGAATTGCTGTATAGACTCGCAAGTGATTTGACACTCAAAACGAAGTATTATTCAACGTTTTTTTCCATTAGAAACCTTTCAGAAATAGCTTTATTTTAAAAAAAAGCATGGTCAATTTTTGTTTTGTTTTAATCAAGCAGTTGCGTGGGATAGTTCACGTACTTGTCCCGCGAACATCCCGCACGGAACTGTAGGGAGCCTCCTTAAGCCCCGGGGCTTAACTCGAAGTTTGACAAAAAAGTTGTTGCTCTTTTAAGCCCCGACTTTTGAAGTATGTCAACGAGTGCAATATTAAATTGTCAAATTTTCAATACAAAAAAGCCAAAGGCAAAGCACAGAAATTTTCCCAAACAGAACTTGTATATCGCTAATGTGACACGATTATCTAAAACAATCACAACTATTATCGTTAACAATATTTTAGGTTTTTCATATTTAAATTAATATTAAATTTAACAACACTCAACAGGTTAATTACTTTTAGTGGATCGTTTATCCACAACAAAACAACAAAACAATATTTTAATTATAAAGTAGATAGAATCCTAACTCGTTCCTTTCGTTCGAATGTGCACAATATCGACAAATTAACAGTTTTACTGTAACAAAAAAGGTACAACCTTTCCCATCACCTTGAACAAAACTAATCTATTAGGAAAATGATCGAAAATGACAGCACGTAATAACTAAAGAAAAAGAGAGGAAAGGGAAGGAATTTCGGTATAGAATGATCTGTCTTTGACAACTTGCGCCCAGAGACTCACGCCTCATACGCACATGTACAGTAATTTTATTAGCCAAATGAATGGTTATGAATCACGAATGGTTTCATTTGTGTAAAGAAATTATCAAGGGGAGAGAAAGTTACATTTGAGTAAAATACCCAAATGTAACAATTTATCCCCGTAATAATGGCGCTACGTCACCATTTCGTTTATAAAATTACTAATCGCTCAGCAAATATTCCCTTTTTAATAATACAAGTCAACGTAGCGCCATTATTACGGGGATAAATTGTTACATTTGGGTATTTTACTCAAATGTAACAATTTCTCCCCGTGATAATTTGTTTACCCAAATGAAACCATTCGTGATTCGTAACCATTTGGCTAATAAAATGACTGTACATGTGCGTATGAGGCGCGAGTCTCTGGGCGCAAGTTGTCAAAGACAGATCATTCTATACCGAAATTCCTTACCTTTCCTCCCTTTTTCTTTAGTTTTTACATGCTGTCATTTTCGATCATTTTCTTAATAGATTAGTTTTGTTTCAAGGTGATGGGAGAAGGTTGTACCTTTTCTGTTACAGTAAAACTGTTAATTTCGAGGGGAATTTCACTCAAAAAAGCGTACGGGATTTTCGGATTTTTAAAAATCCGCGGATTTTTTAGCGGATTTTCCTCGGATTTTTTAGCGGATTTTTGAAGAGAAAATCTGTTGGATTTTCCGGATTTGTTTGGATTTTCCGGATTTTTTCCTGTTTTTTTTGACGAAGCGTACGGGATTTTCGGATTTTTAAAAATCCGCGGATTTTTTAGTGGATTTAGCGGATTTTTAGCGGATTTTTGAAGAGAAAATCTGTTGGATTTTCCGTATTTGTTCAGATTTTTTCCGCATTTTTTGACGAAGTGTACGGGATTTTTGGACTGAAATGCCCCTCAGTTAATTTGTCGATATTGTGCACATTGAAGCAAAAGGAACGAGTTAGGATTCTATCTACTTTATAATTAAAATATTGTTTTGTTGTTTTGTTGTGGATAAACGATTCACTAAAAGTAATTACCTGTTGTTAAATTTAATATTAATTTAATATGAAAAACCTAAAATATACCTAAAATACGATAATAGTTGTGTTCGTTTTTGATAATCGTATTACATTAGCGACATATAAGTTCTTTTTGGCAAGATTTCTGTGCTTTGGCTTTTTTATATTGAAAATTTGACAATTTAATATTGCACTCGTTGACATACTTCAAAAGTCGGGGCTTAACTCGAGCAACAACTTTCTTGTCAAACTTCGAGTTAAGCCCCGGGGCTTAACTCGAATGCCCCAAATCGTGTTTCGTTCTTCGAGTTAAGCCCTTTTTGAAAAAGGCCGTGGTCTTGGCAAAGCAGGGCGTGGTCGGGGCTTAACTCGAAAAGGGCTTAACTCGAGGGGCTTAACTCGAAGGGCTTAACTCGAAGATTCCCGACCTCTTGAATGACTATCCTTGAAGCCAAACTGTACTCAAACAATTTTTTTCGAGTGCAAAACCAAAGAATGATGATGAAAGACATATATTTATATAATCAAGCTTCATTCAGAGTAGTGTAAGGTGGTTTTATTTGTTAATATCAACAATTAGGTTTACTGATAAAGTATGCTCGATTTCGACACATTTTCAAATTTTACAAAGTTTGCGCGCTTGTCATTTTTGTCAAATGGTAAAGCAGAAAGATATTATTGGCGATTTGTGTTGACTAATGTTAGTAGTTTATAAAAAAGTTAAAGTCATGTGCCAATCAAGTGCCACGATTTTGAAATAAGCTTTCAAAGTTGATATATTTTGAGACGATATCGGTTATCCGTTCAGGAGGGTCAATAACTGCGCTGTTTTCTATTTTATACCAAAGAATAATTATCTAAGTCATATCACCAACGAAAGTAGAAGGATGAGTCTAAACTTCTGAGGAAAAATTTTGAAATTTAGGTATGAATTTGATCTAAAAAAAAGCGCTGAAAATATGTCGATATTTTGCCTTCATTCGGAGTTCAAGTTGGTTACCAGCCGATCGAACATCAATCGCCCCCAAAAATAATTTAAAGGAAATTTGCGTAAAATGAAATCGATTTTACTGGTTCCCAAGGATAGATCTTCATAATACTAGAGTATGAGAGAAATCTATTTTTGAGCCCCATATTGACCTGGAAATTTTTCCGGAGACAGCCTCTTAAGACAGGTTCCTCACTCTGAGGACAAGGTTCATCACCCTGAGGAGAAGGTTCCTCACTCTGAGGACAAGGTTGCTCACTCTGAAGTCAGATTCCTCACTCTGAGGACAAGGTTCCTCACCCTGAGAACAAGGTTCCTCACTCTGAGGACAAGGTTCCTCACACTGAGTACAAGGTTCCTCACTCTGACGACAAGTTTCCTCACTCAGAGGACAAGGTTCCTCACTCTGAAAGCAGGTTCCTCACAATGAGGACAAGGTTCCTCAATCTGAGGATAAGAGTCCACACTCTGAGGACAAGCTTTCTCACACTGACGACAAGGTTCGTCTCTCTGAGGACAAGGCTCCTCACTCTGACGACAAGGTTCCTCACTCTGAGGACAAGATTCCTCACTCTGGAACAAGGTTCCTCACACTGAGGACAATGTTCTTCACTCTGAGGACAAGGTTCCTCACTCTGAGGACAAGGTTCTTCACTCTGAAGGCAGGTTCCTCACACTGAGGACAAGGTTCCTCAATCTGGGGATAAGAGTCTTCACTCTGAGCTTCCTCACACTGAGGACAAGGTTCCTCACTCTGAGAACATGGTTCCTCACACTGAGGACAAGGTTCCTCACTCTGTTGATGTGGATCCTCACTCGGAGGACAAGGTTCCTCACTCTGAGAACAAGGTTCCTCACACTGAGGACAAGGTTCCTCACTCTGAGGACAATGTTCCACGCTCTGAGGACAAGGTTCCTCACTCTGAGGACAAGTTTTCTCGCTGTGAGAAGAAGGTGCTTCACACTGAGGACAAGGTTCTTCACTCTGCAAACAAAGTTCCGCACTCTGAGGACAAGGTTCCTCACTCTGAGGACAAGTTTCTTCACACTGAGGACAAGGTTCCTCACAATGAGGCAAGGTTCGGCACTCTGAGAACAAGGTTACTCACTCTGAGGACAAGGTCCCTCGCTATGAGAAGAAGGTGTTCCGCACTGAGGACAAGGTTCATCACTCTGCGAACAAAGTTCCGCACTCTGAGGACAAGTTTCTTCACGCTGAGGACAAGGTTACTCACACTGAGGACAAGGTTCCTCACTCTGAGAACATGGTTCCTCACACTGAGGACAAGGTTCCTCACTCTGTGGACGAGCTTCCTCGCTCTGAGGACAAGGTTCCTCACTCTGAGGACAAGGTTTTTCACACTAAGGACAATGTTCCTCACACTGAGGCAAGGTTCGGCACTCTGAGAACAAGGTCCCTCACTCTCAGGACAAGTTTCCTCGCTATGAGAAGATGGTGCTTCACACTGAGGACAAGGTTCTTCACTCTGCGAACAAAGTTCCGCAATCTGAGGACAAGGTTCTTCAAACGGAGGACAAGGTTCCTCATTCTGAGGACAAGGTTCTTCACTCTGAGGACAAGGTTCCTCACTCTGAGGACAAGTTTCCTCACTCTGAAAGCAGGTTCTTCACTCTGAGGACAAGGTTTCTCATTCTGAGGACCAGGTTCCTCACTCTGAGGACAAGGTTGCTTACTCTGAGTAGAAGGTTGCTCACTCAGAGTACAAGGTTGCTCACACTGAGGACAAGGTTCTTCACTCTGAACGCAGGTTCCTCACACTGAGGACAAGGATGCTCACTCTGAAGGCAGGTTCCCCACATTGACGACAAGGTTCGTCACTCTGAGGACGAGGTTCCTCACACATAGGACAAGTTTCCTCACTCTAAAGTTCCGCACACTGAGGACAAGGTTCCTCACTTTGAGGACAAGGTTCCTCAGTCTGAAGGCAAGTTTCCTCACTGTGAAGGCAGGTTCTTCACTCTGAAGACAAGGTTTCTCATTCTGAGGACCATGGTCATCACTCTGAGAACAAGTTTCCTCACTCTGCGGACAAGGTTCTTCACACTGAGTGCAAGGTTCCTGGCACTGAGGACAAGGTACCTCACTCTGAGAACAAGGGTCCTCAGTCTGAGGACAAGGTTCCTCACTATGAGGACAAGGTTCCTCACTCTGAGGACAAGGTTCCTCACTCGAAGGACAAGGTTCCTCACACTGAGAACAAGGTTCCTCACACTGAGGACAAGGTTCCTCGCTCTGAGGACAAGGTTCCTCACTCTGAGGACAAGGTTTTTCACACTAAGGACAAAGTTCCTTACACTGAGGCAAGGTTCGGCACAATGAGAACAAGGTTCCTCACTCTGAGGACAAGTTTCATCGCTATGAGAAGATGGTGCTTCACACTGAGGACAAGGTTCTTCACTCTGCGAACAAAGTTCCGAAATCTGAGGACAAGGTTCCTCACACTGAGGACAAGGTTCCTCACTCTGAGAACATGGTTCCTCACACTGAGGACAAGGTTCCTCACACGGAGGACAAGGTTCCTCATTCTGAGGACAAGGTTCCTCACTCTGAGGACAAGGTTCCTCACACGGAGGACAAGGTTCCTCATTCTGAGAACAAGGTTCTTCACTCTGAGGACAAGGTTCCTCACTCTGAGGACAAGTTTCCTCACTCTGAATGCAGGTTCTTCACTCTGAGGACAAGGTTTCTCATTCTGAGGACCAGGATCCTCACTCTGAGGACAAGGTTGCTTACTCTGAGTACAAGGTTGCTCACTCAGAGTACAAGGTTGCTCACACTGAGGACAAGGTTCTTCACTCTGAACGCAGGTTCCTCACACTGAGGACAAGGATGCTCACTCTGAAGGCAGGTTCCACACATTGACGACAAGGTTCGTCACTCTGAGGACGAGGTTGCTCACACTTAGGACAAGTTTCCTCACTCTGAAGTTCCTCACACTGAGGACAAGGTTCCTCACTCTGAGGACAAGGTTCCTCAGTCTGAAGGCAAGTTTCCTCACTGTGAAGGCAGGTTCTTCACTCTGAAGACAAGGTTTCTCATTCTGAGGACCATGGTCATCACTCTGAGAACAAGTTTCCTCACTCTGCGGACAAGGTTCTTCACACTGAGTGCAAGGTTCCTGGCACTGAGGACAAGGTTCCACACTCTGAGAACAAGGGTCCTCAGTCTGAGGACAAGGTTCCTCACTATGAGGACAAGGTTCCTCACTCTGAGGACAAGGTTCCTCACTCTGAGGACAAGGTTCCTCACTCTGAGGACAAGGTTCCTCACTCTGAGGACAAGGTTCCTCACACTGAGGACAAGGTTCCTCACGCTGAGGACAAGGTTCTTCACACTGAGGACAAGGTTCCTCACACTGAGTGCAAGGTTCCTCACACTGAGGACAAGGTTCCTCACTCTCAGAACAAGGGTCCTCACTATGAGGACAAGGTTCCTCACTATGAGGACAAGGTTCCTCACTCTGAGGACAAGGTTCCTCACTCTGAGGACAAGATCCTTCACACTCAGGACAAGGTTACTCACACTGAGGACAAGGTTCCTCACTCTGAGAACAAGGTTCCCCACTCTGATGACAAGGTTCCTCGCTCTGCGAAGAAGGTGTTTCACACTGAGGACAATGTTCCTCACTCTGAGAACAAGGTTCCTCACTCTGAGGACCAGGTTTTTCACACTGAGGACAAGGTTCCTCACATTGAGGACAAGGTTCCTCACTCTGAGACAAAGGTTCCTCACACTGATGACAAGGTTCCTCATTCTGAAAACAAAGTTCCGCACTCTGAGGACAAGGCTCCTCACTCTGAGGACAAGGTTCCTCACACTGAGGACAAGGTTCCTCGCTCTGAGGACAAGGTTCCTCACTCGGAGAACAAGGTCCCTCACTTTGAGGACAAGGTTCCTCACTTTGAGGACAAGGTTCCTCACTCTGAGGACAAAGTTCCTCACTCTGAAGACAAGGTTCCTCACTATGAGGACAAGGGTTTTCACACTGAGGACAAGGTTCCTCACACTGAGGCAAGGTTCTTCTCTCTGAGAACAATGTTCCTCAGTCTGAGGACAAGGGTCCTCGCTATGAGAAGAAGGTGCTTCACACTGAGGACAAGGTTCCTCACTCTGAGAACAAAGTTCCGCACTCTGCGGACAAGGTTCCTCACTCTGAGGACAAGTTTCTTCACACTGAGGACAAGGTTCCTCACACTGAGGACAAGGTTCCTCACTCTGAGAACATGGTTCCTCACACTGAAGACAAGGTTCCTCACGCTGAGGACAAGGTTCCTCACACTGAGGACAAGGTTCCTCACTCTGAGCACAAGGTTCCTCACACTGAGGACAAGGTTCCTCACACTGAGGACAAGGTTCCTCACTCTGAGGACAAGGTTCCTCACGCTGAGGACAAGGGTCCTCACTCTGAGGACAAGATTCCTCACTCTGGGCACAAGGTTCTTCACACTGAGGACAAGGTTCCTCACACTGAGGACAAGGTTCCTCACTCTGAAGACAAGGTTCCTCACTCTGAGGACAAAGTTCCTTACACTGAGGACAAGATTCCTCACTCTGAGGACAAGGTTCCTCACTATGAGCACAAGGCTCTTCACACGGAGGACAAGGTTCCTCACACTGACAACAAGGTTCCTCACTCTGAGAACAAAGTTCCTCACACTGAGGATAAGGTTCGTCACTCTGAGGATAAGGTTCCTCACTCTGGGAACAAGGTTCCTCACTCTGAGCTCAAGGTTCTTCACACTAAGGTCAATGTTTCACACACTGAGGACAAGCTTCCTCACTCCGAGAATAAGTTTCCTCAGTCTGAGGACAAGGTTACTCACTCTCAGGACAAGGTTCCTCACTCTGAGGACTGGATTCCTCACCCTGACGACAAGGTTCCTCACTCTGAGGACAACGTTCCTCACTCTGAGGACAACGTTCCTCACTATGAGGACAAGATTCCTCACTCTGAGGACAAGGTTCCTTACTCTGAGGACAAAGTTCCTCACACTGAGGACAAGGTTTCTCACTCTGAAGGCAAGATTGATCACTCTGAAGACAATGTTCCTCACTCTGAAGGCAGGTTCCTCACTCTGACGACAACGTTCCTAACCGTGAGGACGATGTTCCTCACACTGAGGACAAAGTTCCTCTCCCTGAGGACAAGGTTCCCCACTATGGGGACAAGCTTCCTCGCTCTGAGGACAAGGGTCCTCACTCTGAAGGCAAGTTCCTCACAATGAGGACAAGGTTCCTCACTCTGAAGGCAGGTTCCTCTCTCTAAGGGCAAGGTTCCTCACTATGAGGGCAAGGTTCCTCACTATGAGGACAAGGTTCCTCACTCTGAGAACAAGGTTACTCACTCTCGGGACAAGGTTCCTCACTCTGAGGATAAGGTGCTTCACAGTGAGGATAATGTTCGTCACTCTGAGAACAATGTTACTCAGTCTCAGGACAAGGTTCCTCACTCTGAGGACTGGATTCCTCACTCTGAGGACAAGGTTCCTCATTCTGAGGACAACGTTCCTCACTAAGAGGACAAGATTCCTCACTCTGAGGACAAGGTTCCTTACTGTGAGGACAAAGTTCCTCACACTGAGGAAAGGTTGCTCTCCCTGAGGACAAGGTTCCTCACTATGGCGACAAGCTTCCTCGCTGTGAGGACAAGGTTCCTCACTCTGAAAGCAGGTTCCTTTCTCTAAGGGCAAGGTTCCTCACTCTGAGGACAAGGTTCCTCACTATGAGGACAAGGTTTCTCACTCCGAGGACAAGGTTCCTCACTCTGAGGACAAGTTTCCTCACTCTGAAGACAAGGTTCCGTACTCTGAGGACAAGGTTCCTCACACTGATGACAAGGTTCCTCACCCTTAGGACAATGTTCCTCACTATGGGGACAAGCTTCCTCACTCTGAAGGCAAGTTCCTTACACTGATGACAAGGTTCCTTATTCTGAAAGCCGGTCCCTCTCTAAGGGCAAGGTTTCTCACTCTGAGGACAAGTTTCCTCACTCTGAGAGCAAGGTTCCTCACCCTGAGGACAAGGTTCCTCACTCTGAGGACAAGGTTCCTTGCTCTGAAGACAAGGCTCTTCACCCTGAGGACAAGGTTCCTCACACTGAGGACAAGGTTCCTCACACTGAGGACAAGGTTCCTCACTCTGAGAACTAGGTTCCTCACTCTGAGGACAAGGTTCCTCACTCTGAGGAAAAGGTTCCTCACACTAAGGACAAGGCTCCTCACTCGGAGGACAAGGTTCCTCACTCTGAGGACAAGGTTCTTCACACTGAGGACAAGGTTTCTCCATGGGCGTATCCAGACCGATGCCAGCGATGCGAATGCATCGGTCAAAATTGAGAAATCATGATTCATGTTGCTTGAAATATATAGATACATAATTCGCCAATAGTCAAAGCCCACAGTAGTAAAATATCTCCTATCAACCCGCAAATCTTTGCTTAAGATTGACTCCATGTCAGGAATACACTATTTAGGATGAAATCCAATTTAAATAGTCTCAATAACAGTCGAAATTGTCAAAATAAGTCCAAGATACGACGTTGCAAATTGCGATCGCAAATGTGTACTTTCTGTTGTTTTGCGACACTTAAGAGGGCCTCTCAGTAAAATCCACCCTCTAGTTCGGGGAAGGGAAAATAGATTTAGCTCATATTTTGCATATGAACTAGACTTTGGTCAATATTAATCGAGCTTCTTTCAGAACGTTTCACCTTTCTGTTTTATAGGAGTTATAGCCATGTTGAAATTTGACCTTGCGAGTATATTTTTTGAGACCGGAAATTTAGGATAATTTTACACGAATTCATCTGATTTTTTAAAAACGTTGTAATGCGTTTATCCCCTCCAGTTACTATTCACACGCAAGATTAACATTAATACTCTCGTGTACATGGAGATTGAACAACTTTATTTGCCTAATACGATTTTTTTTTATAGTTTTACAAAACTATGTTTTCAAGATGGCGACGAGAGGCTGAAAATTGCTCATATTTTACTTAAAATAGCTCAAAAGTGGCACCTATCTGAAGTTCAAAAGGGATGTAATTTGTAAGTATACCTACTAAAGTTAAGTAATCAGGAATAAAACTCGTCTGCAAGCAATTTTCTGAAAAGTTATAAATCTCCAAATTGGGTCTATTTTTAGCTGTTTGTTTACATTCCGCCATTCCGGTCAGTATAATCACAGAGTAGATAAGACATACAGAGACGTAACTGACCGTTGTAAACACTGCGGAAGATTACGTTATCATGTACCCACTTTTTTTCAGGCGACCGGGCGAAAAATGATCAACTGCGCGTGCTCAGCAAGTTTAAAGTGAGTCGTCATCAGGTCGTCATCCAATCAGATGCATGCATCTAGTAACTTGCCGAGCATGCGCACAAAAAAGTGGGTACACTAGTTACGTCTCTGTATGTCTCTACTCTGTGGTATAATCTGCAGACTGCAGACCAAGTGCAAAATGTCGAAAAGGTATAAATTGCAGACTGAAATTGCAGACTTGGTATAAAATGCAGACTGTGAAAAAACCCTATAAAACTACACATTACGCCCGTTTTCAAAATTATGCGCCTTTATACCAAAATATAATCTAAGATTCAAATGTCAGTTTTATGTCATCAGAGTTGTGGGAACTGCTAAATGTAGTAAATGTAAGCAAAATTAAAACATCGTAAACCGTATTTAATACCTAAAGAGTAAAGAAGAATATTGAGCTAAAATGAACTAGATACACAAACTAAACTAGAAAGTAGAAACAACAAACCATCACAAAAATAAATTTGTGTAGCGAATGACTTTTAATTAGTTTGAGAAAGAACAATTAATTGTCAATTTATCCTCGAATTTAAATAACAAATGTGTATTAAACCCGCTTACGCCTGATCATTAGTATAGCAGTAATATTATGATTTTTTTGCGCTTAAATTTTGCAATAATTTTCACTAAAATATCTTAAAAATTATTCTAAACCTTTTTATATAAAACATACAAAGCTTATACATTAGCTCTATTCACATTAGAGACGGACAGGTCGTCTAGACGAACAAATCGTCTCTCAAAAATCGTCTTCACAGACGGACAAGTAGTCGAACAAATTCAGACGACTTTTTCGTCTAAAATTTTGTCCGACATGTTTTCACATCTGATGATTTGTCCGACTAAAAGACGATTTTGAGACGATTTGTTCGCCTAGACGACTTGTCCGTCTCCTAATGTGAAAACGACTAATATCATGCATCGACAATGACCACAAAACTCGAAGTTGTATAAAATAATTTGAACTTCATGATAGTATGACATATTAAAATATATGTTTTTTCACAGTCTGCATTTTATACCAAGTCTGCAATTTCAGTCTGCAATTTACACCTATTCTGCATTTTGTACTTGGTGTGCAGTCTGCAGTCTGCAGTCTGCAGATTATACTGACCGGTTTACATTCGCGTGTTCGCTGATCAGCGACACTAGTAATAATTAAAAAGTTAAATAAGCTGGTTTATTATCCAGGTTCTAATTCACAACATAAAAACATTAAAAATACAACCTTAACCATTCTTGGCTTATTCGCATGAATAATTTCACAACTGTTAAATATCTTTTTAAGGTATAATCGGGCAGTACTTTCTGTGGTTGTAGCAAATTTCAAAGCTGTCAGTATCTCTGGCTGTATATAAAAAGTGTTCGGTGCTTTACCTTTTTTATTCAACTCGTCTCGCAATCTTTTTCTGTCCCTGCAAATGGAAATTTTGCCGGAAAGGTCGGACATTAATTCTTGCAGCATGGATGCAACATATTTTTGTACATAATTGCAGTCCAAATACTACAACCTTCCCACTTCCGCTTTTGTAGTCTGTTGTCATTTACTATTTTGTTTTGACTTTTGCATTATTGTAGCGGTTGCCGAATTATGGAGAAATATGGCGATAAAATTTAGTTGTTTTTTTTTATTTTTGTAGTATTTTAAATAATTGTAACAAAGGATGCATTTTTCGTTTGATTCACTGCATATGAACACATAAAAGTTTTGAAATTTAACTTATGTCGTCGTATTTCCCTGTAATTTATTAACCGCTACAAAAACAGAAATACTGCAGTAAGAGACAGAGATTTTCAAAAAAATAGTATTTAAAAACGTTTTAAAAGAGTTTTAAAAAGCAAAAAAGTTTAAAAAGTTAGATTTTTAAAAAAGTTAAAAAAATTTAAAACGGTTAAAAAAGTTAGGGTTAGGAGTTAGGGATTACTGGTTAGGATAAGGGGATTAGTGGTTAGGGGTTAGTGCCGCGACCGGTTGCCGAACATGAGGTTTTGTGGACCGGCACGTGACACGGTTTTGACAATCGGCAAATAGAAAAATTGAACTTTGACACTAACTAACAATAAGAGTTATAAGACTGTATAACAATAAGATTTAGTTACCTTTGTTCTAATTTATGCTTTTGTAGTCTAGAATTCGACCCATAGTAACTAGGCATGTGTGCTATATAAAGTTGTGAATTGGGTATAAACAAACGTTACCCAAATTTGTCTAATCGAGCTAGACTTGGGTCAGTACACGCATTTTCATAAAAATAGCAACCCTTCGGAAAAACAGGATTCTGATTATCATATTGAGCGACATCAAAATCATGGGAGTTTCTGCAAAGTGCATTAAACCGATATTACCTGTAGCACTATTTGATGACCTAAACATCGCACAGAGACACTTACTGTAAGTTTTCTATTCACATTGGTCGTTCAGACATGCACCTCCCGCCGTGGGAGCGGCAGATCAAGGTCATAATCAGGAGATTATGGTATTGTGTCAATGTATTGACGAAGTTCTTATTATTAATAACATTAAAAGATATTAGGGTCGTAGACACTGTACTACTCGTTGTAACTGTACTATTGTATGTGTATATTGAAAGTGTATAATTAGTGCAAGTGTAAGTTAAGCATAAATGTAAAGCAATTCGAATTCAAGAATGTTCTGTACACGATCGCTTGTATATATTGTAATTATATTTTCTCAAAATTGTATATATTCTTTTGAACAAGCTAAAAAAGTTTACTCATGGCTAATAAATCAGCTTATTTTAACTCTTCAATTACTAGTGTCGCAGATCAGCGAACACGCGAATGTCAACAAACAGCTAAAAATAGACCCAGTTTGGAGATTTATAACTTTTCAGAAAATTGCTTGCAGACGAGTTTTATTCCTGATTACTTAACTTTAGTAGGTGTACTTTCAAATTACATGCCTTTTGAACTTCAGATAGGTGCCACTTTTGAGCTATTTTACGTAAAATATGAGCAATTTTCAGCCTCTCGTCGCCATCTTGAAAACTTAGTTTCGTAAAACTTTAAAAAAAATCGTATTAATTAAGCAAATAAAGTTGTTCAATCTCAATGTAAACGAGAGTATTAGTGTTAATCTTGCATGTGAACAGTAACTGAAGGGGACAAACGTATCACAACGTTTTTAAAAAATCAGATGAATTCTTGTAAAATTTCCCTTCATTTCCGGTCTGAAAATATTCTCGCAAGGTCAAATTTTAACATGGCTATAACTCCTCAACCTCGTACCCAGGGCTTCTGCGCTTATTGCTCTCAGAAGCCCTGGGATAATCCAACTCAGAACGTGATTTGATTGGTCAATGCGAATACAATGAAAGTACCGGAAGTTATTCATTAACCGGGTGATATTTTGGCAACATGTCTGCTAATGCTATCACAAGGAGTGTATACAAAAGTTAAATGCTGGTTTTTGCATGAAAATACTTTTTTGAACCAAATTCTGGGCTATTTTGAAAAGAGCAAAAGAAGAAATGGACTATTTGTATTTGTAAATAAGCAAGAATGGCGAACAAAGTAAAAAATTTAATTAACATAATAAAGCGAAACATTTCTCGTTCGAAAATTGAAATTTCAAGTACAATCTACAACTTCAACCACGATATTCAATGTAAATATTACATAATAAAGTTTTTAATACCTTTTTACCTTTATTTGATAAATTGTGTGTTCTATATTATTGCATTTTGTATTGGAATAGGATAAATTATGAATTATACACAAATATTTAAATTTACAAATTATTCCCAATTTGAGGATGTAAATGACGTCAATTGTTATTGCGCAATTTCGCGCGCTTTGTGAACACGTGACACTTTTAGGAAAAAGTTCGACAATCGACAGAACGACAACAATGTTTGAATTTTATTTTGTATATTTTTATTTATATTAAAGCGTTTAAATTGTACGAGTATACGACATTAATTACATGGCGCCCAACGTGCGGCTTGAGAAGAGTCTAAACGAAAGAAATATCGCAAAAATAGCTTGAGAAATATAGTTTGTAAACCGATTCAAAGAGAATTTCGAATATGGCCGAAGCACAATCAATCGAACGAAAACGAGCAATACGCAAGGCAAATCGCGGAGTAATCACGAAGTACATCAACGAAGCAAACGATCTTTTGCACGACGAAGACAGTGATCGAGACCGTCTTATTACGATTCAAGGGCTGCTTCGCGAAAAGCTAGATTATATAAAACGACTTGATAGCGAGATTTTGGAAATTTGCGAAATAAAAGATATCGACAAGGAAATCATAGAATCCGAAGAAATTAACACTCGAGTTCTCGATGTAAACAAGAAAATATTAAAGGCAACGAGCGAAGGACACTTAGTTACGAATCAACCGGCAATATTCGTGGAAGGTGAGCATATAAATGAACCACAACAAAGCGAACTGCAAAACGAAAGCGTTGTATCGAATAATTCGGCGCCGCAAGCAAGTACAGATCAAATTCAACACAATCAAGTAAGTCAACAACATCATGTAACGAAATCTAAACTCCCAAAGTTAGTACTTCCAAAATTTAAGGGAGAACTAACCAAATTTCGATCGTTTTGGGACTCGTACGATAGTGCTGTACATAAAAATAGTCAGCTGTCAACAATCGATAAATTCAATTATTTATACTCGCTGCTCGAAGGGCCAGCTCTACGTTCAATTCAAGGTTTATCCTTGACCGAAGAAAATTATCAATCCGCTGTAGACTTGTTAAACCAACGATTTGGAAATCAACAACAAGTTATTTCGGCCCATATGGACGAACTACTAAAAATTCCGGTGTGTTCAGGCGACAAACCATCACAACTTCGATTTGTTTACGACAAAATTAGCGTTAGCGTAAGAGGTCTCGAAGCGTTAGGAGTAGCTTCAAGTCAGTACGGCAGTTTGCTCATACCTATTATTATGTCAAAATTGCCCGCAGAAATACGACTTCATATAGCGAGAAATACGGTCGATGAAGTGTGGAATATAACTGATTTGCTCGAAGTTATGCGTAAAGAAGTAGAAGCTAGGGAGCTTAGCGAAAATGTTCGAAGCCAAAGCGGTGAAATTGACAACCGGAAGTCAGAGACCGGAAATGAAATCGACAACTTCCGGAAATTCAACCAACGAAATAAAAGCAAATATCAAGCGTCTGCTGCCAATTTGTTTGTAAAGGACGACGAAAGTAACGAAACGAAGCCGAAGTGTGTGTATTGTGGTGAATTTCATTTTTCAGCTTCCTGTATTCATGTTAAAGACCCAAGCAAGCGAAAGGATATTTTGACCAGAGATAAACGTTGTTATTTATGTCTAAGAACAGGGCACATAACAAGGAATTGCAAGAAACAACAAAACTGTCGATGGTGCGAAGGTCGACACCATCAATCGATTTGTCAGCGTGATGTAAAGAGTAAAACACCAGAAAACACTACCAAAGGTGATTCGACTAGTGGTGCGGCTCAAGGTCAAAATCATACAACAACAACTACAACAAACGGGAATTGCTCCAAGGTTCTTTTACAAACAGCCACCACATTTGCCTATTCAAGTCAACAGTCGGCAACGGTTCCAGTTCGAGTTTTAATGGATAGTGGCAGCCAGCGAACGTACATAACCAATGGTTTAAAAGAAAAGCTCGGGTTGCAACCCACTAAAACAGAAACGTTAAAGTTAAATACATTTGGAGGAGATCGATTCAGCAAGAAAAGGTGTGATGTTGTACAGTTAAGTTTGCAAGGAAGTGATGGGGATATCGAGATTTCAGCAGTATGTTTTCCCAAGATTTGTTCGCCTATTCCCACAAAGATTTGTCCTGAAAGATATCCGCATTTGAAGGGATTGAACCTGGCTGACGTTAAACTGAGCGAAAGCGATGAACTTGAACACGATAACATTGATATTCTCATTGGTTGTGATTATTATTTCGATATTGTGAATAACGAAATGGTCCGAGGAGAGGGGAGAGGTCCTGTAGCGGTTTGCAGTAAATTTGGTTGGATAGTGTCGGGTCCAACAATGCGTGAAGAAAAGAACGATGAATCCTCGATGGTCCACCTTATTATGCAGAGAAATGAGCTAGCAAGTCAATCATCGTATGTTCAAAATAAAGATGGCGAACTGATCGAAACTCTTAGAACCTTCTGGGACACAGAATCAATTGGAATCACAAATCACGATATTGGGAATCCAGAGGAATCCAAGTTTTTACGTGAAGTTAGCTTTGACGAACAAGAGGGTCGATATCAAGTTAGGTTGCCTTGGAAAACTGAAGCATTGCCACAATCAAACGGATATTCAACGTGTGTTCGAAGACTTAGACAACTTCATTCCCATTTAAAGAAAGATAAACATTTGCTAAATGACTATGACAGTGTAATCAAGCAACAACTCGAAAGTGGCATAATCGAAGCGGTTCCTGAGGAAGATGATGATAGTGATGGATCGTATTATTTACCTCATCATGGAGTACTTAGAGAAGACAAAGAGACAACCAAGTTGCGGGTTGTTTTCGATGGGTCGGCTAAACCTAACGAGGAAAGTCCTTCAATTAACGAGTGTCTGGAAAAGGGACCCAATCTTGTTCCGAATTTATTTGACACAGTTATCAAATTCCGAAGTCATCCGATAGGTATTGTTGCAGACATAGAAAAAGCGTTTCACCAAATCCAGATATCGCCTGAGGACAGACGAATGCTGCGGTTCCTTTGGTTCGACGATATCACTGAACCTGTTCCGAAAATCCGACGATTCCAGTTTTGTCGACTAGTGTTTGGGCTTACCCCTAGCCCAGCAGTTTTGGCAAGCATCATTCAACATCATTTAAGTAGACATAAAGAAAGGGAACCTGAAATGGTTTCTTTGCTCAATGATTCATTTTATGTCGATGACTTTGCTGGAGGAGCAAAAACTGATGATGATGCGGTAGAGGTTTATGAAAAGGCGCAAGCAATTATGAAAGACGGTGGTTTCACTCTCCGAAAGTGGATGTCAAATTCAAAGAAATTCCGAGAAATGGTCGAAAAAAATGAAGAGCATCAATCATACGTGAACGCGGACAAACCAACACTCAACCAAGGTAAACAAGATGTAACACAAACGAGTTCGAATGAGATTGTAAAGGTCCTTGGTTTACACTGGAACGTGCAAAGTGACGTATTCCAATTTGAAACCACCGAATTAGTGCGGTATGCCCTAACTCTACCACCCACGAAGAGATCGGTCCTTAAACTGCCAGCGAAAATCTTTGATCCGATTGGTATATTAGCGCCCTTCACGATCAATATGAAGTGTCTGTTTCAAACTTTGTGTGTTGAAAATGTCGAATGGGAGCGCCGAATTAAGCGGTAAATCATTAAGTACCTGGAATTCGTTGCTAAGAGATCTTTTGGCAATAAAATCAATCCGCATGCCCCGATGTTATTTTACCAAGTCAAGCCCAATCTCAACTCATCAGATCCATGGATTCTCTGATGCTTCAGAAAAGGCGTATAGTGCGGTTGTTTATCTGCGTACAGAATATCAAGACGGAACTGTCGAAGTAAACTTGATTCGTCAAAGACGAGAGTAGCGCCTTTAAAAAGACAGTCGATTCCAAGGCTCGAACTGCTTGGGGCAAATATTTTAGCTCGATTGGTGAACACGATATTGAAAACACTTTCAGCAATCATCGATGATCCAGAGGTATTTTTATGGACGGACTCCTATACGACGCTTTGTTGGATAAGAAATTACAAGATGTGGAAACAGTATGTTCAACGCCGTGTGACAGAAATCCGAGAGCTTACAAACGAAAAGCATTGGCACTTTTGTCCAGGTGAACTCAACGTAGCGGATTTGCCATCGCGTGGTTGCTCTGCAATTGCATTAGCTGAAAATGACACGTGGCTCCATGGACCAAAGTTCCTTAAAGATCCTAAAGACCAATGGCCTAAATGTCCTCAACCTACCAATTTAGAAACCGATGTCGCTTTGTCAGAAACTGTCAAGACTCGTCCTACTGTTACGTACAGTCTTGTTAATTTAACGGACGATCTACTTTCGCATGCCAGAATTGGATTGGTAATGGAGTGTAACAAATATAGTAGTGTAACAAGATTGTTAAGAGTCACCGCGTTTGTTCTACGATTCATCAGGAAGTTGAAAAGGCAAGAAACGAGTGACAATTCTATACAGATCTTAAGTGCTAACGACATCAAGGAAGCCGAGATCCTTTGGGCCAGAGAAGTACAAGCGGTATCATTCCCTGAAGTGACTCGCCTTTTAGGCTCAAAACAGCGGGTTAACAACCAACTTATTAATCAGTTAAACTTGTTTCGCGATAAGAACAATCTCATTCGTTGCGAGGGACGTCTGGAACATTCAAGTTTGTCAGTTGATTCAAATAATCCCATTCTATTACCCTCCAGACACCATTTTACAGATCTAATTATCCGAGATCGACACTACCATGTTCATCACTGCGGGATTAACGATACGTTGAACTGCATTCGTAATACTTATTGGATTTTACGAGGACGAGAATCCGTAAAACGTGTATTGAAGAAATGTGTAACTTGCAAACGACACGAAGGAAAACCGTTTTCCACCCCTAAAGTTCCGCCATTGCCACCCAGCCGAGTGAGTGACGAACCGCCCTTCACAAACAGTGGCCTCGATTTTGCTGGTCCTCTGTTAGTTAGAGACGGTGAGAAAACCGAGAAGTCATATATATGCCTGTACACTTGCGCTTCTACCAGAGCGATTCATTTAGAGTTGCTAAAGAATTTATCAACAGATACATTTTTGCAATCTTTCCGACGCTTTACTGCTCGACGAGGCCTAGCAAGGAAACTAATTTCCGACAACGCAAAAACTTTCAAAGCTGCGGCCAAAGAAATCGAGAAAATTTCAAGATCACACGACGTTCAACGTTTCCTTACAAACAAAGGAGTTGTTTGGGATTTCATTACAGAAAAAGCACCGTGGCACGGTGGATTTTGGGAGCGCCTAATCAAGACTACGAAACGTTGTTTAAAGAAATCAATGGGGAAAACTTTTCTTTCGTTCGAAGAAATGCGAACAATGTTGGTTGAAATAGAATCGACTTTGAACAACAGACCACTAACATACGTTTACGATGACAATGAAGGTGTTTCGCTTCCATTGACTCCGTCCTGTCTCATATACGGAAGAAGAATAGCGACAACTCCAAATGATTCACAGTTTGAGATCTCAAGTACGAATCAATCGCTCACACGTCGAGCGAAGCATCAAAATCGAGTGTTAAAGAACTTTACAACGCAATGGAAGAAAGACTATTTGTTAAGTTTACGAGAGTCGTCAAAGGCACAATCCAGAGGTGCTGAGATAATATCTGTTGGAGATATTGTAGTCCTGAAGAACGAAAGTACTGCACGTATTTTCTGGAAACTGGCGAAGGTTGAGGAACTTATTACAAGCAAAGATAACATTGTGCGATCAGCGGAAGTCGGTCTTTTGAATGAAGCTAACAAGAAGATTCAGCTGCGAAGACCCATTCAACATTTGGTTCCGCTTGAAATAAGCTGGAAGAACATGACATAGATGACTCGATAGGTAGTTTAGTTTAGTTTTGTTCTGTTTTTGTGCACCGAGGGTGAACAACGCCGGGAGTGTAAATGACGTCAATTGTTATTGCGCAATTTCGCGCGCTTTGTGAACACGTGACACTAAGTTAGGAACGCTTTTAGGAAAAAGTTCGACAATCGACAGAACGACAACAATGTTTGAATTTTATTTTGTATATTTTTATTTATATTAAAGCGTTTAAATTGTACGAGTATACGACATTATTAAAGAATCAAACCCGCGACCTTTGGGATACTAGACCAATGCTCTGCCAACTGAGCTACGTGGTCAAGTCGGTTTGATGTCACTCTGAGTGGATGCACACTCAAAGTAACATCACAAACATCATATTCACCTGAGTACATAACACCAACACACACAAAATAAACAATTTGGTTGTTTCAAATTTTTGTCTGCAAATTTTAATGACACACAAGTTTGCAAGGGCAAAGCAAATTTTTTTTCTGTTTGCAAAGCAAAAATTTCCCGCCAGATAAACAACATCCGGGACACCGGTCCAGATACGGAAAATACGGACCTCGGTCCGGATATGGGGTTTTACGGACCACTTGTCAACCAATCAGAACAGATAATTTGGAAAAGCCATATAATAATTGGCATTATATGACACGAGTCAGGCATATTCTCAGGATTGATAAATGCGGAATCAAATATCTTTTGAATGAGGAAGAATGACACATAGGTCTGTTTAAATTTTTGCAATATCTTAATATGTCTTCTAAAAAGACAAACTTAGTTTTATTGTCAATACCCTTAAGTGTTGTAATTGCACCGTGTTCAAATTAAACAAATGCGATTAACAACGTTGAATTGAAATTAAATTAAAAGATATATTATGCCAATTTGCACTGAGACTAGTCTTATTCAGACATCAGCTTTCTACTTAATGACCATTTTCCGTCTAATAAGATGAACAAGAACTTTGAATTATCATGTCTGTTTACCAACTGAGTAATGTAACTTATCGTTATATGGATATAATATCCTTTGCAAATGTTGTTTTGCTATTTAGAAAAGTATATTATACGCTATACATGCGATGTGTCTTACGAAATGTTTGAATCTGAGTGTTTCATTATATTCAAACTTGGTTTATTCTTTACTGTCGAAATATTCGGCTGCTTCATTCTAACGCAGATATACTCCGTTATAACCAAGACATACATAGCCATTTCCTAGGGGGCATAGCATAGCTACAAGTAGCTACAGGCAATTCTTGTGGCTTTTTTCCAAAGAAATAAACGATTTACATGGGTTCACAATCCGCAATCCGTAATCCGAATCCGCAATCCGCAATCCGCTACCCGTAATCCGCAATCCGTAATCCGCTACCCGTAAAGTCTACCATGCCTAATCCAGGGACTTTTTGTGTGAAGTTTGTCTTTCATTTTCACAAGGGAAAACTTTCATCAATTGCCATTTTCAAATTATCATCAAAATTCCATATGATTCACATGGGTAATTGCCTTTGAAAGTACTTTTCCATGATATATTTTTCGCAGATACTAGAAACAAGTCAAGATATATCTTCATTTATTATTAGTTTGTAATGTGAATTTCCCATTTTGGGGTTATTATTGTTTGAGGATAAACATGCAATATGAAATATAGGGAGATGATCTGAAATATCTGACCAGATTAATCCATTTACGCTAGAATCTATATGTTAAGATCATTTGTAAAGATGTTACCAATTAAAGTAGCTGTATATGCTGGGTAATTCTAGTTGGTCTACTCCCAAGCGGAAAAAAAGATGAGGTGAAAAGTTGCTTACAAAATCTACTAGAATATTCACAATCATCAGATTTCAAAAGACCAATGTTAAAATCCCCTGTCAAATATGTTATTTTCCTTGTTTTGTCAACTTCAGTTAGTATTGTATTTAGTTTATTTTCAAACGTTTCAAAATTACCACTTGGCGGTCGGTAGATAGTACCAACGATAATATTTTTACCAGTTGTTGAAATAATTTCAATGAAAAGCGTTTCAATCATTCCATCCTTCTTTATATTTCGGTCAGTTCGTAGTTTGTAGTTTAAACTATTTAAAATAAAAGGGGAATAGGCAACTAATGACCTAATAATCACCCCTGACTAATAGCCCCCCCCTATACAAAATTGCTATGTACAGTAGTGATATATTATGTTATTCCACCATTAAAATGACATGAATGACTCTTCCTTGCTATACAAACACCTTCAAAAATCACGAATTCAAAAATCTCAAGAATCGTTTTCATCCTTTGACCTTGTTTGCTTTTATTTTATATATTAAACTTATTATTATTGTTTTCCCCGATTTTATGTTTGGTATTAATTTGATCTTCGAAGTTCAAATAAAGCTATAATGCGTTCGCTTAGCCCTTCCCCCACCACAAGAAAATTAGGTTCTATAGCTATGCCACTGGTTCCTCTACGTTTCTTTTTGTTGTTGTTTTAATTGCGGCGCTTTCCAAGAGATTTTCTTTTGCATGCGCCATAATTTTGCGATATCAGTTTTGGTCAAATAAAACATCAAGATTCAAGAATCTCCATTATATGATAATAAAACAAAGAGAAACATAAAGAACACATCACAGGCAACATAGTTGGTGCAAGTGTGATTTAGCGAACACCACCAGGTAACTAAATCGGTGAGTAGCATTCTAGGCATGCCTATAGTAAAAATATTAGCATTAAAAAACACGAGACATATACAGAGAATTGGGAAATTAGAAAATGAAACAATTTTAAATTAAAGTAGCACTGACACTGCCATTAAAATTTTTATTGTCTCAAAAGAAAAAAAACTCCTAAAACTGTAAAGTAACGTCTTTTGGAAAAATTGGTTCACATTGTTTGCTCTTGAGATATTTCATTTTGTTTGAAACCATGTGATGTCATTTACTCGATTACATATATAATATGTATATCCATTATATCAGGAAATATTAATGTTGTGTATCTTTGTTGATATTTGTGATGGATTTGTTTGTTAATTCCGTTTGGGAAACACACGTCACTCAAAACAATGTTCTCAATTAATTAATTTTCACGATTTTTAACAGCTCGTTATTCAAAGCAGATTTATCAAAACGGATACAAGACAAACTTTGTACAGCTACTCATTTTGATACACTATCTCTATTGATACCTTTATTTGTTGATCAGGGCAAGTTTTAGGACTCCTATATATAATTTATCAATTTCATGTCCTACAAAAATATTAATTAATTTGCAATATAGTTTATAAATTTGAAATGTTGTCTTTGAAATAACTGCAAGAATTATATTTACAATTTAATGTTGTGGTTCAAACTGCATTTGCACCAAATTTTGATGTAATTGTGCTTGCATAAAATTTTACACAAATTGATTGTTAGAACAACACAAATTTTAATGTAATACATGGCCAGAAATCGTGAACATTCACAATGCGCTTGTGCTAACACCGGCCTTAGAATGGCCGGCAAATGTCGCTAATGTTTATTGAACTAATTGAACTAAACATCTTTGGAGCATCATCTTCAACTTCCTTTGACAGCCGCTCGTGGAGATAGATAGAGCTAGAGCTTTCACTGCAGCTGCACCAAAACTTTTTAATGAACTTCCCCGAGAAATACGTATTGTGACCAACCTCAATCATTTTAAAACACTTATTAAGACATTTTTAAGACATTTTTATTTAGGAAAGCATATGACATTGTCTAGCTAGTGAGATTGATATATTTATGTACATATATATATATATACTCACTGGTGTTTTATAATTTCAACATGCTCGTTCCTGACATGCGAAATTTCAGGCACAACAAAGGCGTCAATTCGCAAAGATTGCCTTCCCCTCATGGGAAGTAGCTCTACTGAAACAACATCATGCAACCGTACTCCGCTGCATTGATTTCCAAATGATTTTACCACAAACCACTCTTGCCTAACTGGTGGCAAACCTAAAGACTGTTTTACTGGTTACAAATGAATTTTTACACTAGCCTCCCCCCGTCGCTTGATATGGCCTTGGGCTGTTTGAAGAGATACACAGCAACAACTGCTCACATGTGTATTAAGTGAAACTTCGGTCTCTGAAACATTTTGAGCAGCAACGTCATCTGCCCCTTTCGTTTTCTCTACGCACATAGCAGTGTGGTGTTTACCATTACAATTTTTACATAAAACTACGGGCCTACAATCCTGTGCCCTATGTCCCTTTCTCATGCAATTAAAACATCTAGAATATTTCATTAAAATAAGCTTACATTCCTTAGTATCTGTGATTCTCCTGCAGTCTTCATTGTGGTGTTTCCCTTGACAGAACGCAGCTTTCGTCTTGTTTTACAACATTTAACACACTCCCTGTGGATGGACCATTGTTTCTGCCATTATACATCTCCTTTTGTCCGAGCATTCTTTGTTTTGGCGATTGGTCTGGTATTTCTCTCTCAGTTCAATTTCTTTCTCCAAGGCAGTTAGTACATCGTTCATACTCCAGTCACTGTGAAGTTTGTCACGACTTATAGTCAAATGTACAACTTCAGGGATCTTTTCCAGAATAGCAGGTACAACAATGTCAGAATAAGTTGCCTCGTCCACACCAAGGGCTTCCAGTCCACGATAATGTGTTTCTATCTTGTCAAATAATACTCGTAAACGCCCACAATCTCTCGCACTATACACCTGTTGTACAGTCAATAATTCCTGTATATGGGTACGTTTAATCAATGTATTTTTACCATATCTTTTCCTCAAACGTTGCACTGCAGACTCGTAGTTCGCCGATGTTAATGAAAACCCTGCAATCACAGATTTCGCCTGTCCCGTCAACAGGGCTCTAAGGTAATTAAATTTGTCGACATTCGATAAACTTCCATTGCGGTGGATCCCACTTTCGAAGTCATCCCAGAACTCTTGCCAGTCTTCGAGTTTGCTGTGAAACTTCTTCACCTCGAGCTTCGGAAGTTTCGCTCTAACCATATGAGC